GAAATAATTTTGATAAAACTGATGCTATTCAAAATTGAAGTAAAAATAATCAAATTTTCCATAGATAATAACATCAGGACCAAAATGATAATTTTAATAACAATATTTCAGGAGAAACAATGGACAAATTTAAAAATAGTACATATCCTATACTGATTTGGTCATATACTTCCTTTGGAGCATCTTGCTTTTTCTAGAATATTCAAAATCTCCAAAGGAGGACCATTTCTTATCTTTTGAAAAAACAACTCCTTCCTATTTTCCTGTGTCATATTGTTTAAAATGTATGTAACTTTTTTCCTGATTTTAAAAGAAAGATTCTCTATTAAGTAGCCTCAGTTGTTCTGGAACTCCTTGTGTGGACTGGGCTGGCTGAAAATTCACAGAGTTCTGGGACTGAAGCAGTGTGCCATGATGTCCAGGTAAATATATTCTTTTAATCAGTCATAAATCATTAGATATTTCTTTAGTAATTCTTGAATTCCAGTGGTAAATAAGTGAATGCATTCACAAAAATGAAAATAGTTATTTTAGGTAATTCCCATGATCTATGAGATAACTAGAGGAATAAGTCTAAAAACTTAATTCAGGACTAGAGAGATGTGTCAGTGGGTAAGATAATATCTATATCTATATCTATCTATCTATATATATATAATTTTTATTTAACTTTTTACACATGTTAGTCTCAGTCCCTCTCCCTCCATTTCCCTTCATTCCTACCATCCCCCTTCTGCTCCCCAGGGAGGGTAAGGACTTCCATGAGGGATTTTCAGAGTGTGTGATATAATCCTGGGCAGGGCCTAGGCCCTCCCCCATGTGTCCAGGCTGAGAGAGCATTCCTCCATGTGGAATGAGCTCCCAGAGTTCATTAGTATGCTAGGAATAAATACTGATCTACTCTCCAAGGTTCTATAGATTGCAGAGGCCTCTTCTCTGACACCCAGGGTGGGATGGGGTAAGATAATAACTTGTTGAAGACCTGACATCAGTTCCTCTCATCCTTGTTGGCCCAGCTCATAGCTAACTATTCTCCAGATTTAGGTCACCAGATACCCACTGTTGGTCGCCACAGGTATTTCACTTAAACACACACATACCCACACAAAAGTCACATGAATACACATAATTACAAATACAAGTAAATAAGAAAACCTTCGGTCAAAGACAGCAATAAACACACAGCATTAAGTGATGAATGAATGGTATATCTGAAGTCAGACATAAAAGCTGTAATACAGCATTCACTCTAAATATTTCAAAACATTGATCTGGGATGCTGCATTGTCATGGTCTCCCGTTCACAGCCTCTCTGCATAAAGGCATCCCATACAGAAAAAAATGAAATTTGGAAGAATAAATAGGACTATAATGACATCGTAAATTGTGGTCTAAATTTACCTTTTGCCCTACTATACTTTCTACCAAATTTTGCCTTGGATACGTAGGATCAACATAATAAAAATGGCAATCTTACCAAAAGCAATATACAGATTTAATGCAATCCCAATTAAAATACCAGCACAATTCTTTCCAGACCTTGAAAGAAAAATAATCAACTTGGTATAGAAAAAGAAAAGACCCAGGATAGCCAAAACAACCTTATTCAACAAAGCAACCTCTGAAGGCATCACCATTCCTGACTTCAAGCTCTATTATAGAACTGTATTCCTGAAAACAGCTTGGTATTGGCACAGGTAGACAGGTAGACCAATGGAATTTAATTGAACACCCTGATATTAACCCGTACATGATTAACATCTGATTTTCGACAAAGAAGCTAAAAATATACAATGGAAAAAAGAAAGCATCTTCAACAAATGGTACTGGCATAACTGGATATTGGCATGTAGAAGAATGCAGATAGACCCATGTCTATTGCCATGCACAAAACTTAAGTCCAAATGGATCAAAGACCTCAACAAAATCCAGCCACACTGAACCTGTTAGAAGAGAAAGTGGGAGGCACCCTTGGACTAATTGGTACAGGAGACAGCTTCCTGAACATAACACCAGTAGCACAGACACTAAGATTGACAATAAATAAATGGGACCTCCTGAAACTGAGAAGCTTCTGTAAGGCAAAGGACATAGTCAGCTAGACAAACAGGCAACCCACAGATAGGAAAAAGATATTCACTAAACCCATATCTGACAGAGGGCTGATCTCCAAAATTTACAACAAACTCAAGAAGCAAGTCTCCAAAATACAAAAGGATTCAAACAAAAAATGGAGTACAGAACTAAATAGAGAATTCTCATTAGAGAAGACTAAAATGGCTGTTAGACACTTGAGAAAGTGCTCAACATACTCTGAGCTACCACCTCCTGTCAGAATGACAAAAATCAAAAACTCCAATGACAATTTATGCTAGACACGATGTGGAGAAAGGGGAACACTCCATCACTGTTGGTGGGAATGCCACTTTGGAAATCAGTATGGAGATTCCTCAGGAAAATGGGAATCAGTCTACCACAAGACCCAGCAATTCCACTCTTAGGTATATACTCAAAAGATGCACATTCATACAACAAGGACATCTGTTCCACTATATTCATAGCAGCATTATTTGTAATAGCCAGAACCTTGAAGCAATCTACATGCCCCTCAACAGAAGAGTGGATAGAGAAAATGTGGTACATTTACACAATGGAGTACTATTCAATGGAAAAAACAATGGAATCTTGAAATTTGCAGGCAAATGGATGGCACTAGAAGAAACCATCCTGAGTGAGGTAACCCCATCACAAAAAGACAAACATGGTATGTATTCACTCATTTATGGATTTTAGACATGAATCAACGGAGTGCCAGCATACAATCCCACTGCCAGAGAGTCTAGGAAACACAACCTTCATCCTGCGACTGAGGGACACAGAGACAGACACCCACAGCTAAACACTGAACTGAAATCCAGGAATCCAACGTCAGAATGGGAGAACTGATGAGCAAAGGATTTAAGACTCAGCTGGTTTATCCCACAGAAACAGTTGACCTGAAAAGGAGAGAGCTCTTGGACCCCTGATTGATGGCTGTGTGGAAAGCATGGGACTGACCCAGAACCCCTGAATATGGGTGTCAGTGAGGAGGCCTAGGTAATCTATGGGACCTTGGGTAGTATTTATCCCTGGCATACAAATAGACTTTGAGTGTCCATGCCACAATATGGGAGGCTCTCTCAGCCGGGACTCTTGGGGGAGGGTCAAGCTCCTGCCCTGGATTAAAGGACAGTTACTGGAGATCAACCATGGAGGGCCTCACCATCCCTGGTGATCAGAGTGGAGATTGGGTGGGGAGTTGCAGGAACTGGTGGGGAGTATGGGAGAGGAGGGGAGGGAGAAGGAGCTAGAATTGACATATGAAACAAGATTGTTTCTAACCTAAATAAAAAAATAATTAAAAAAACAATCCTGAATGATGAGTGGTTCAAAGAAGTCAAAGAAAAACAGTTTAAAACAGGAAGCAAGTTAATAATAAAACGACACAACAAAACCTCTGGTACATATTGAAGGCATTACTAAGAAATAGCTTTATAGTTATGAACACTGCATTAAAAATTAAAAAGAGAAGCAAAGGCAGGTAGACTTCTGTAAGTTTAAGGGTAATCAGCTTCACACAGTGAGTTCCAGAGAGCCAGAACTATGCAATAAGACGATCTATCAATAATATAAAACATAACATAATGAAAAACAAGAAACAGCACAAACAGATGACTTAGGATATAGTTCAAGAATTTGGAAAAGCAAAAACAAACCAAACATAAATCCAGTAGATTGTAAGAAATAATAAAAATAAGAGCAGAAATTAATTAAATGAATGAAAGTATAAGGAAACAATTAATCTATGAGCTAATTCTCTGAAAAGATGAATAAATTTAATGGCCTCTTAACCCAATTAATCAAAAGAAGAAAAAAGATGACCGAAATAACTAAAATCAGAGATTAGCAGGACAACATAAAAATCACCAAAAAAATTAGAATACTATAAGGGAATACTTTAAAAACATGTGCTCTATTATGCTAGAAAATCTAAAACAGTTGGATGAATTTCTAGATTTCTCCAAACCACCAAAGTTAATCCAAGATGATACGAAGAGGTCAAGAAACTCAAAATAAGCAAGTAAATAAGAACAGTAATGGCCGGGCAATGGGCACACATGCCTTTAATACAACTACTAGAGGGGCAAAGGCAAATGGATCTCTGTTGAGTTACAAGCCAGCCTGGTCTAAAAGGAGTGATCCAGGTCAACCAAGGCTACACAGAGAAACCTTGTCTCGAAAACAAAATCATAACATAACATAACAAAACCAAAACTCAAAACAATATAAAACATCAAAGATACAGTAGCAAAAATCCCTCTAATTTAAAAAAATGGCCCATCTAAATATGGTGATGTGTGCCTCTTACTGCAACACTGTAGAAGCAGAGGAAGCCCTGTGAGTGCCAGGGAACCCTAATCTATATAGGGGGCACAGTGACATGGTGAAATCTTATCTCAAAGCAACCATAAAAATAAAATATAAAATAAATAAATTACACCCACAAGACTACATTTATTTTTGTTCTTTTTAGTTTCAGTTTGTTTAGGGAATTTTTTCTTACTGTTTTTTGTTTGTTTTGATGTTTTTGGCTTGGCTTTTGTGTTTGAGAGGAAGAACATGAAGTTGGGAAGGTAGGGAGTATCTGGATGAAGCTGAGAAAGGAAAAACTATCTTCAAGATAATTACAAAAAAATAATTAAATCTCTGGCTAAAATTTATTCATAGAAGAATTCTACTGTACTTTCAGAGAAGATCTGCCATCAAATTTTCTTATACTCTTCAAAAATAGGAACACAAGGAGTATTTAAATTGATATAGCTGAAGTTTGTTTACAGAGATTTACATAATCACATATCATCTTTCTGTTTAATGTTTACTTAGGAATAATCAAGTTCACATTGGAGAAAGATGCCAGTTCCAATTAAACTAAATGAATATCCATACTGCGGTGATAAACATGCTTTTACTTGACATGATTTATTGAAGGCAACACACATCTATTCTGCAGTATTCCTGCCACATATACATATTCTCAAATATTTTACAAGGAATAAAAACAGAAGCTAAAGAATCTCAAAACCTGAAAGGTACTATTTCTCAAGGACACCAATGCCATCAAGGACAAAGATTGATTCAGATTAAACAATATAAAGACATATAGCTTCTGTAAAGTTATTTCCAAAGAATGGAAAAAGAAAGAAAAAAACAACTATTGACATGGAAATATATACAATGTATATGACATGCTTCTAAACTAGTGATGATGCAGTTGATACTCTTAATTTTTTTTCATTTTATTGAAAATAGATTTCCCACATACTAAGTATTATTTTACCTCCCTCTGCTCTTTCCAGTTCTTCTCCACATCCCTTCCCATATAGAAATCACCCTTTCTGTCTCTCATTAGAAAACAAACATGCTTCTGAGGGATAATAATATGATATAATATGATAACTCAAAAATAACATATCAGAGTAAGAAAGGTTTTTAAATTTTAAGCCAGGCTTGAGGGAACATACACACACTTTTATAATGTAGATGAAAGAAAATATTGGGAAATTTGAACATCATACCTGCAACTAATGTATAGTTCAGAAAATAAAATGACATGTATAAACAGAAATACGATGTGAGGGGACAGAGGAGAAGAGGAAAGGAAGTGGTGGGTGAGAGGAATGCAGAATAAGACTAGGTAAAGAGTAGATGGCTCTAAAATTTTATCAATATTAAAGAGAAAGAAAAGACTTATTTCTATAGTATGTACTCAAGGAATTTATGAGGAAGTTCAACATTTGGAATCAGTGGTTTCTACATCTAAAAGACTATTCAATTGTATACGATTTTGACCACTTAACATTTAAATTAGGCTGAAGTTTAAAAGTACTATTTCACCTATTAGAATGACTATTATTTAAATGTTTTGAAGCACAGTAAGCATGAATCAATGAAAATTAGCACTGTCATTACACCACAGCTCTGGCTTAGACCAGAAAGCATCTAAGAACAATTTCACAATGTTGACAGAAACCACAGAAGATGATATAATATTATCATACTTAGAAAAGTATTATTTAAGTAGGAATTCAAACATATTTTCATAGTTATATAAGTATAGACAACATCATCAACAGCATCACATGGAGGAGCAAGGCATAGTTTCATAAACTTAAACTACTAGTTTGGAAATACTTCCATGATATATGAAATACGAAATTTTGAAGCATTAATATGAATACCATACAACCACAAACTCCACATACAATTATATATCAACACAAGAAAGTTACTGACAACCATATACATCATGAGCAGTGAACTCATCATTGCTGTGGAATGGGCATAGCAAGCTAAGAATGAATGGCCACAGAATGTTTTAATCATTGCTGATGGCCCTATGTCAACGTACTAAAACATCTAAACTTTACAAATTGTTAAAAGATATTTTAAGGGTTAAGTATCAAAAGGTTTAAATACTTATTTCAATGACAAATGCAAGTATATATTTGGATATGTATAGCAGTGCTTCTCAACCTCACCTCATCTCTTTTTGTTGCTACATCGTAACTGCAATTTGGCTACTGTTATGAATTTTCATATAAATATCTGTATGAGAATAGTCTGAGGTGACCCCGGTAAAAGGCTTGTTGAACCCCAAAGGGGTCACAGCCCACCGGTTGAGAAGCACTGATGTCAAGAATTTGGAAACTAGTACAAGCAAAGACATGCTTTGTGTATCTTATATTTTAAAACCTAACAAAGATCCACTGGATGAAAATGGAAATATACAGCACATGAAGGGTTCAAAAAATCATCTTGCTAGAGTCCAAACCTGGCCCAAAAATCTGCACACTGCAACAATTTACTGGCATACAGTTTAACAATTGGCCCTCGGTGCTTTTGTACCTCAAGAACAGACTCCTGGTTGTAACAACATGATCTGGAGCCTTACAGATAAAATGCTTTGTGACCCCTAACACAAACTGACAGTTTCTTGTATTGTCTTGTGTTCTATGCACTGTCATTGTATCTGATTAGAATCTAGATCAATCCAAACTCAGAAAATGCTAAGAGATCAACTGAAATACATTAACTTTGCTATTAAAAGAGGAACTCCATGGCATATAAATTTAAATGTGTATTAATAAAGAACACAGGTAATACCTTAAATTTCAGAGGAAATGGCATAATAATATAATAATCAAGGATACAAGAATTGTACTATAAATTTATGAGATTTTTAAAAAAATCCATTAAGTCTTCTGTTCTCTGCTGCATTCTATACCACCTGGTTTCCACAGAGCCAACTGGAGTTGCTGGCCTTGGGTGGAAATCACCTTTTTTTTCCCTGAGCCACCTTACTGTCCATATTAAACAATGTATTGGTAAACCACACAAAAGAAAGGAATTAGTAAATAATCTTAAAATATATAGGGCTTGAGTGATCATGGCTCACCTCTAACCCTAGCTTCAGGAAATGCAACTTTCATTTCTGACTCTACAGAAATCTACTGACATGAACATACTCCCCTAATGACATACACACGCAGATGCTTTAAAAACAACTAGCAATTGTAGTTACTCTGGAAAATTAGTCAAACCGTTTCAGGAAAGCAGGCAGTAATTACCTAATGAGGAGTATGGTCTAGAAACCGACAACTCATATTTACAATAAGTCATACTTTATATTGATTTCACTTAGTTTAAGCAGGAACAAGTGAAAAATCAACACATTGTGTAACAAACTCAAATCTCTTTAATACAGTATGTTTTTGCTCTCACCTGAAAGGACATAGGTGATACCAATAAAATGATGATGTCACACATTCTACAAGACAGAGTCCCTATGGCTCCCTTTACCAACTCAAGGACAACATTTCTCTACAGAAGTCTGCAGTTGGGGTACTGAAGAAAAAGCAAGCCACAGACTCATACTTATGCCCGAGACATAGGCCAGCAATGTCAGCAAAACAGCAACCAGAACATCAACTCTAGAGAACACCAGTGTGAAAGACAATCTTCTTTGGGGCCTGCCTAAAATCTGAGTTTCTCAGTTAAAGGAAAAGGAAACCATATCCCAGATAATAACAAAACTGTCATACCAGGAAACTTAGTCAGAAAACCTTGTTATCATCCAATTATCATAAAATATCTGTGTCCATCAAGTGTACTACCCACACATAAAAGTCTCTTCCATTTAAAAAGTAAAATATGAATAAGAGACTAGGTAACATTCAATATCAGATCACAGGATATACTAAAAGCAGAAGTAATGAATGTTCCATTCAATTACTTGCCAAAAGCAGGTCATTATTATTCCATTGAAGTCTTCTGTACAAGTTGTAAGATGAGACGCATAGAGTAAGACTCCAGAAACAACAAATAAAAGCAACTGTAATTGGGAAGTCTTGTAGATAAAAACTTTTCAGAAGGTATATTTTGTGTGTTTGTCAAGATGGCCACCACCTGGAAGAGTATAGAAACATAGATTAAATGTGGAAAAACAACCTGTTGTCTCTTTTCCTATATATAGAAATAATGCTCAAGATTTTTACAAGAACTCTATAAAAACAACTTCTAGTTCTGAAGGCAATGAAATATATTCTATAAAAATAATTATCATTTTCTTCTTTAATTTCTTATTGTAAATAGTTTGCTGTTTAATCACATTAATTTGCGGACCTAACATTTCCTATATTACTTTTTAGTTAGCAGCTAATGGGTTAAAATACACACAATACTGAAAATAATAGTTCATGGAAATACTTTCCAAAATCAAAATCCAAATATCAGGGAGTTCACAGCACATTATATATTTCTCATACCTCAGAATGCATAGAGCAATCCCTGTCTCTGAGAAAAACAAAACAAATATCTATTGAGAAAGAATTCCTAAAAGTTTTATGTGTAACTTCTTCTGATACTTAAAGTACAGTGGCTCCCACGGTTAAGTACTGAGCTGAACTCAAGAAAGACAGTAACAGAGAGGGAAGACTGATGACCAAAGTGATTAAGACTGAGCTGGTTTAACCCCCAGAAACAGCTGACCTGACAAAGGTTAACTCTTGAATCCCAGGCATTAGCCTGGGAATCCAGCATGGGACTGATCAAGATGCCCTGAATGTGGGTGTCAGTGAGGGGGCCTAGGGAATCTATTGAGCCTTGGGCAGCAGATCAGTACCCATCCCAAGTATACACATGGACTTTGGACTCCCATCCAACAATGTGAGGTGCACTCTCACCCTGAACTCTTGGGGGAGGGACTAGGCCCTGCCCTATATGAAATGACAGACTATGGACACCCCCATGGACCCTCCCTGTGGAAATGAGGGGATAATGGGGGGTTGGGGAAGGGCACGGGAGGAGGGGAGGGAAAGGGAGAGGGACCTGGAACTGACTTGTGAAGCAACCTTTTTTCTAATCTAAATTTATACTGAAAAATAAATAAAAAAATAAAGTACAGTGGCTTGAATAAAAATGCCTGCCAGCTGCCATGATAGTCCTGGTCTTACCCTCTGAAGCAGTAAGACCATAGTGAACAGTATCTTTTAAAAGTCTCCTCATGCATGGTGTTTTGTCATAGCAATTAAAAAGTAACTAAGTCAGGCCATGGTGACAATTTATTCCCAGCACTTGGGAGGCAGAGGCAGGTGGTTCTCTGTGAGTTTGAGGCCAACCTGATCTACAGAGTGAGTTCCAGAACAGCCAGGGCTACACAGAGAAACCCTGTAACAAAAAACAAAACAAGCAAGCAAGAAACAAATAACAAGTAATGAAGACCAACATTGGTACTAGGAGTAAGGTATTGCTATGCTAGGCCTAACTACACTGTTTTTGTTGTTGTTTTGTTTTGTTTTGAGGGACGTAAGAACACGGTAAAAATTTGAGACTTTGTACATGAAAAGAGTTTGATGATGAAAAAAGGCTTACCATGCCATCCTAAGAGATACTTGGAAGATGATAATGCAGAAGGCAATGTGGACTATCAAAAAGGTTTCATAGGGGAATAATATCAGCAACTGGACTAAAGACAATTTTGTCATATTTTGACAACAAATTTCTTACTTTTTCCTTCTTCCTAACAATCTGTCTGATGCTACATTGAAAAATACTAGATTTATTTTTTTGGCAGATGTCAATGTAGCCTAACAGTGATTCTGTCACTTGCTTATTAGTAATTGCAATTTTGCCAGTCTACAATGAAAAATAGCAAGCAGGAAAAAATAAATCTACACTTTGAAAAGAAAAAGAGCACCAGAAAATTCCATGATTGAACTAAGTATTGTACTAAAAAGTTGAGAAGAAAACTTAAGGGAATGGGATAAAGGGTGTGATGCCCTCAAGGAAAGATTCTACATTCAACTTGTGAAAGAAAAAGGCATAAGGAATGTTCTGTACCCAAGGAGCAACAAATCAAAATTTATGCAAATATAATTCAATGAAGAGGTCAGGTTCTACCTCAAGAAAGCAGATGAGCTGGAGTGCAGGTCATGTGATTCTGGCTTTAGAGTTGTGTAGGATACAAGAGGAAATAGGTCATGAGATCTTTCTCTCTACTTACAAGAGCTGCTGAGAACAGGCTTATGGGCATAGAGTGCCCGTGTGGAGGTCTTGTGAGGTCATTGCATGAAGATGACCCCAGGATGTTGGAGGTGCTAGAGCCAGGGGATGTCCATCAAGAGGGCCTTTAGAAAGGGAGTACAACTAGTCCATGAGAAAGAAGTGTGTTGTAGTCAACGAAGCTGAAGGGAGAAAGCAACTGTGTGCTTGCCCTTGACATCAAATATGGAATTAAATGATTTGGAGTTTTCTCTGCTGGGTTTCAGCTTTACTTTGATACAGTATTTCTTCCCTATTCCTCCATTCCTGTCATTCTGGAAAGATGACATACATTCTGTATAATTGCTTTTAGGAAGTATATAATTTGATTTTTTAAATTTTTGTTTCACAGGCCTTATATTTAAGAGAATGTCCTGGGTTTCATATGAGACTTTGAACGTTTAACCTGTGTTAAGACTGTCAAAGAATATGGGGAGTTTCAAAATTTGTCTATATTTTGAATTATGATACAACCAGAAACTTATGTGAGCCAGGGACTGGAATGCAGGGTTTTGAAGGAACATGTATATCCCCATAGGGTCATATGTTTGAATTCTTGGTCCCTGTAAATTAACCAGGCAAGAATAAGATCATTACTACTAATTTTGAGACAAATTTATAGCAATATTTATTAAACACTGGCCAGAATAATAGACACTGGCCAGTTCCTTAGCCAGGACTTCCAGAACATGACAGTAAATTATCTTACAAAGGCAAAAACTGAAAGGCTACTACAGACACAAGTACATGAAACTTTTATACTTTTACACTACTTATTTTATGAACCTAAGGACTGCATCCAGCATCTCATTCATAGAAGATAAACTCTCTACTATATATCTATGAAACAAGCAAACAAGCAAAAACATATTTAAGGACTAGAGATATCTCAGAGGGCAAAAGACTTGCTAGTCTTCCAGAGGACCCAAGTTGCGTTCCTTGGACACAACTGAAGCTCCAGTAGGAACCAATATACTCTTCTCTACTCCTGAGGCACCTAAATCTTTGTCACATTCTCACACAAACACACATTCAAATAAATGAAAATAGAATAAATAAACCTTAAAATATTTTGATTCCTTTATAACTAAACTCTGCAAATAAACTAAAATGTATAAGTAAGTGTCTAAAATGTTTTAAGAAAGCCCCTCCGCCCCTTTTAAAAACAATCAGGAACATGAGGCAAATGAGAAAAAGACCTAAAGGCCCAAAGTAATGTGGGAAACTAAAGGTATAATGGAGGAATTTACAAGGACTAATGAGACATTCCTTGCTTCAACTACATACCATAAATACATCCACATACATGCTGATTAATATGTCTGTCTCACTTGTCAGCTTAGAGTCTGCAACTGTATTATGATTGCCCTATTCTGGGACAATCATGAAACTTGAACAATCATGACGAAAATAACCATCTTTTAAGAACCAATATTTCAGCCAGGCGGTGGTGGTGCACGCCTTTAATCCCAGCACTCAGAGGCAGGCGGATCTCTGTGAGTTCGAGGCTGGGCTAGACTGATAGCCTCCAAAACAATACAGAGAAGCCCTGTCTCGAAAAACCACAAAAAAAGAACCAATATTTCTGTCATTAAAATGGGAAAATGTGAAGTTGGGCAATGGTGACACGCATCTTTAGTTCCAGCATTTGGGAGGCAGAAGCAGGGAGACCTCTGTGAGTTCAAGGCCAGTCTGCTCTACAGAGTGAGTTCTAGGACAAACTCAAAGCTACACAGGGAAACTATTTCTTGCAAAACCAAAAAAAAGGGAAAATGTGACATAATATGCAAATTGCTTCAGTTCACTTAAAGAGGTGATTGCTGTGCTTCTTGCACTCTTGGCTATATCTAATGAGCAAGAAGAAATATTTACTGAGAAGAAACTTAATCCAATATTAGAGACACATTCAGTGATATTCATGAGTAATTGTATAGCTAGTTGTACCAGATAATTATTTTTGAAAAAAATGTAACTGTATACATGCATGAGCTCACCAAGCTTGATACATGTATATGAGATATTAAGGTTAACAATATCAATAATAATGATTTCAATGCATATAATGTCACCAGACATTTTAATAGTGAGATAATTACATTTTATTTATTGTTAGTTTTCATTGCAATTTACTCTGTATTACCCAGAAAAACAAGTCACCATGATAGCAATTTATCTATCAATTATATGACCTCACCTGTACTCTCTGGAAATAATAAGCCATGTAATTTTATACTGCAATAAAAGCAATAAGAAATGTTACTTTCTATGTGACATTCAGCACAAGTGACTAACACAAAAACAGGACTCCTAAAAATCATTTCAAAATGTCAAAAACAAAAATAAATTTAGTCACAGGACAAAAAAAACCTATCATTGAGGAGAAAACCTATTAAACAGCAGATTAATATCTAGAGTTCCACAAATACCTAAAGTTAGAATACTAACTAACCAAAAATCATTCAGTCAGACAAACATAAAGAGCAGTTCCGAGGAGCCTGAGAGATCCACGGAGGCTCTGAATGTAGAAGCGCCTAGGGTGGTGGCAGGGGAGTCTGCAGAGCCGGCAGTATCACCAGAACAACTTTAAAAACAGGTAGATCTCATGGGAAGATACTTTTTTTAAAAAATTGGACTGATGAAAATGGAAGGAAAGATGGTAGATGGTAGCCATGTGTGCGGTGGAGATCTGTATAACATCAGACAAGCATCTCAGGATGTGGGAGCCATATGGGAGCTTGGACACAGCCATGAGCACGGCCCTGTAGGTGAACTGCAGCATGGAGCCTGCGCTGTTCACCCTACCTTGAAGAGGGGATGCCCACTGGCTGCAATTTCACAAGTCAATCTGTTGAGCCTTGAGGCCGCTGGCACCAAGAGCATGGAAGTATCTGGCACGTGGAGCTCTCAGTAATGTGACTCCTGGATGCCCTTGCCTAGCTGCAATATCACGCTTAATCTGGAAAAGAGCAGGATATCCAAGAAGCTTCTAGTCAATGATCCAACATTTATGGTGCTACAGAAACCAGAGACCTTAAATCAGACCAATGACTCTTTGCAATAAAACTGTTAGATCAAAAAAAAAAAATAATGTGTGACACGCTGCAATTTCAATAGCACTTTGACAAACGTATATGTGATGAAGTGGGAATAGTGGAGGACTGGAGAGGTTGCTGCATGGGGAAGAGAGAGACCATAGAGATTTGATGATGGTGAAAGTGTTGGTGAAGGCTTCAGTGGACAGTGAGCATGTCATTCCCAAATAGGACCAGTAGGGTGGCTTGCAGCATCATGGAGCTCTGCCAAGGATGTGCTAATACCTGTTGTTGCCCAGGGTCATGTTAATGCCCATGCCCTGTGTTGCCACCAAAGCCCATATCGGTGATCCATACTGTCAGAGGGCCATGTTTGTGTTCCTGTCCCTTGCTGCTATAGGAGACAGTGTTGATGTCCTTTGCCAGTGCTGCTGTTAGGGCCTTAATGATGTCTATGGTCTGTGCCGCTGCCTGAGGCTGTATTGATATCTCTCACCCTGGTACCACTGGAACTGATGTTGATGTCCGTGTTACCTATTGGCACCAAAGTCTATTTCGGTATCTATGGTCTGTGGTGCTGCCTAAGGCCATGTTGATGTTCATATTATGTTTTATCACCAGAGGACAAATGTTAAGTCCATGACCTGGGGTAATTCCTGAGGCCATGTTGATATCTGTGGTCCATGCAGCTGCCCTAGATCATATTGATGTCCATGGCCTGAGATGCCAGCAGAGGCCTTGTTGATGTCCATGCTCCGTGTTGCCACCAAAGGTCTTATATATTTCTGTAATCTATGCTGCCACCTGAAGTCATGTTGATGTCCATGGCCTGTGGTGCTGCCTGGAGCCATGGGAGTTTGACAATGCTCCAGTAAGTATATATACAACCAATAGACTTAGTAAAGTTTTTCCTTCTGTTTTAGGGTAAGGTCACAATGTTGAACCTGGGAGTGTCATTAAAGTGCATTATGTGCAATTCCTAGAAAATCAATAAAAATATGTTTGAAAAAAATCGCCTAATAAAAATAGCCCATACTATTTGAAATATACAGTATTTGAAACCAGCCTAGATGTTTAACAGATAAATGAAAAATGTGGCAATATGCACAATAGCATTTTATTTTGTTATAATGTAAAATCAAATGACATTCTTAAAAATATGGAATGAGCTGAAGTTCAGAATGTTCCCCAAAAATAAGAAAGACTTTTGAAGATATATATTACAAACAATAATATTTTACTTCACACACACACACAGAGATGATGCATACACACAACAAAAATTGGCAAAAGGATGGGAGGCTAGTTATCAATGAAACAGATACAGATGCATGGAAATAGAACTGACATCCTTTAGTGTGGAGTAAGGAGACCATCAAGAGAAGAATGAGAAATTATCACAATATCACATGTTACATATTACAGTAACCTCTCAAAATACTCTCCTGGGTGCACCCACCCCTTACACATCCTGTGACCATATTTGATTGGTGAAGAGTGAGGATAACAATGCAAACTTCAAGCAGAGAAACATATGTGAGGGAGAAAACATAAGAAGAAAGCCTCACAATATATTGATGTAAGAAGTGTAAAAACAGAAAAGGAAAAAACAGGTGAGAAGTAAATTTGGAACGGGAAAATATACTTTAAATAAAACCAACTAACATATGGACAATCTCTTCTGATAACAATAAATGGAACCTAGAGAAAAATAACTTGCAAGTAAACTGTTATCGCAAAATTAAAGTTTTCTTTTGAGAACAAGAATCCTATTTTGATTTAACATATCAAATCTTAACGCTAAGGAGACAATAAGGGAGGATTCTGTTTAATGATGAATAAGCAGTATGCAAAAACCTGGCTAACAACTTAATTTTCAAAACTTTCAGTAGCACCCTCTAAACCAATAAAAAACTTTTGTACTTCTTTTCTAAAAAAATACAGTGAACAAGTGGTAAAAGATGAAAATAGATAGCTTGCATACCTATAGAACATTTTGGACAAACAATATCAGTCTAACAATTTACTTCTATAACAAAAACAGAAAGATAATGATACCCACACATTCAATAATCAGCATTCATTTCTCCATACCACTTGATAACTATCCATATAAACGGGGAAGGCAGTGTTTGTTCTTATTAGCATGTAATAATTATATACAATGGGGTTCATGAATTTTCATAAATATATATACTATACACAATAGTTGCTGGGGAGGTGGAAATTAGCATAACTTTATGGATAATGAAATTTGACAAAATAACAAATTGCAAAGGGAACATATTTATTAAGCCTCCCCAATCCCAAGCTCAAGGGACAAACACTGTAGAGGAAATGTACAATGCAGATTTTACATTTATATAAGATGCAGAAGGTTATCTTATGAACATGACATGGCCACTGACCTCATGAAAATAAGTAGTTATGAATACCAACCCAAGTCAACATAGAACACAGTCAACATGACAATATTACTGAGGGAGAGGCTCAAGAAAATTAAAATCTAACTAATGAACTACTAGCAATTGATAGTTGCTTGGAAATTTTTTTTTCTTTGGAGGTTTGCTCCTGCTAAGTTGTTTAGGCTCAAGTACATGGTCCCATACCCATGTACAAGCAGATGGTCCTAATTGAACTCAGTAAGTTTTTTAATTGTAAGAAAGACTTAATAATTGCAAGCACTGGTTCTTTGAGTGAATAACCAAGATTTACAAACCCTTTGTTCAACCAAGAATAACACAAGTAATAAAATCAACAATGAGTGTGAAACATGGCAATAGACACCAAAGAGATACAGAATATAAAAAAAACTGTATGTGATTAAGTTGGAAAATTTGAAAGAAATGTGTGAATTTACTGATTCATCCAAACTATCAAGGTTAAAATATGTGAGTACTTACAATCTGAACATTGTTTCGGAATTTTGGAGTACTACAATGAGTTTGGGACTGAGTGTGTGTGTGTGTATACATATACATAAATACATACGTACATACATACATGCACGCATGCATGCACATATATACATAGAGAGATAATTTGTTGTCTGGGATTTCTTAATATACAACCTAAGTCAAAATACCCATAACACATTTAAGAGAAAAAAGAACAAATATTCCAAATTTTATTTGGACACACCAAAGATATCCAGTAGGCAAAGAAACCCTGAGCAAAAAATACCACAGGAGAGATTTCTATTCCATATTCCAAGATATTATAGAGCTTCGATATAGTAAATCTAAAATAATAAATAGTATGGCATCAGCACAAAAACCAACATGTATACTAAGGAAATCAAATAAAAGACTCAAGTTGTATGTTGGTGGCACAAGCTTTAATCCCAGCAATCGGTAGGCAGAAGCAGGCAGATCTCTGTGATTGAGGCCAGCCTGGTCTACAGAGCGAGTTCCAGGACAACTTCCAAAGCAATAGAGAGAAACCCTTTCTCAAAACAAGACTCAAAAATATGAAATTATAACTGCAGCCAGCTGCATTTGACAAAAAGTAAACAAAGCATACATTGGAGGAACAATAGAGCCTGGGAAACTATTGAGAAGGAATTGATTAGGAGAGACTCGGTGCTCACTGTGTGTCTAGCAGCAGGATAATTTACAGATTATACAGAGAATTTAAAGAATGAAGGAAACAAAATTCTAATTAAAAAAGAGATAGGGATATAAAGAGATCATTCACAAGAAATAGGTATGCATATTTTAAAAAACCTTTTAGATGGTCTTATTCCATCTGAATAGCCAAGGTCAACAAACAACTACCAAAAAGTGCTAGTGTGGTAGTGGAGAAAATATACTCCTGTCAGGAATGCAAATTGATGGAGGCTGTCTGGAAATCAGCATTGAGAAACTTAATAATGGTGGAGCAAACTGATGTCATAATACAAATGGTCCTAACAGATAAACATTCCACTCCAATAAAAAGAAAAATATCTTCTTCCTAGCAATTCATGGAACCTCCTTTAAAATTAACCACAGTGACACTAAACAAGTCTCAAAAGATTCAAGAAAATTAAAATAAAACCCTGTATCTTATCTGAACACCAGTGATCAACAACAACAGAAAGCTTACAAACTCATGGAAATTTAACAACTCACTACTCAATGAATTGAATGCAAACAATCTTCCAAGGTACCCAAACTGACACAGTGATTGCATTTCAGAGAGGCAAGTTCATTGCACTAAGTGACTAAACAACAGCAGTGTCTCATATTAGTAATTTAATGGCACACTTGAATTCTCTTAGAACAGTGGATCTCCACCTTCCTGATGATATGGTCCTTTAATACAGTTCCTCTTGATGTGGTGATCCACAAGTGTAAGATTATGTAGTTGCTATACATAACAGTAATTTTCCCTGTAATGGATCATAATGTAATTCCTAATATACAGATGATCTGTGAAAGGGTCATTTATCCCTCAAAGGCATCACAATCAACAGGATAAGAACCACTGTTCTAGAACAAAAAGAAATAACAAAGGAGTAGCTAGTAAGAAAAAACAAAAATAAAAAGACTCAATGAAACAAAGATTTAGTTCTTTGAGAAAAATCAGTTAAGACTGAAAAATCCTAGTTCAAATTAAGTAAATGTTGGTTAAGAATATTCAAATTAATAATATTTAAAAGGGATGGTAAGACACAACGATACCAAGGAAATCTAAAGAACCAAGAACATACTTTTAAAAAACATGTAACCTAGAAAACTGAAAAAAAATTAAAAATGTGTAATTTTCTCAAAACATATTACTAATATTAAATCATCATATAAACAATTTAAACAGACCTATATAGCCTAGTGAAATAGAAGCAAATATTAAGTCTTTCAACCATAAACAAGGCCACTGTTTTAGCATATAATTTTATAAGAATTTCAAAACTGAGTTAACCCCTATACTCATCAAACCATTCTATAAACCAGAAACACAAGGTACACTGCATAGTTCTTAATTCAAGGCCAGTTACTTGGTAGCAGTATACTCAGCAGGCTTCCTATATACAAGTTGCAAATGGACTGAGAAAGAATCCAGGGAAACAATTCCATTCTCAGCAGCCTTAATAAATGTGTATCTTGAGATAACTCCAATCAGGCAAGTGAAAAAAATGTATAAAGAAGATAAGATTCAAAGTTCTCCTACATTCGTGAATCAGGATTAATACACATGGTTGTTTAACCAAAACAATGCCTACACAATTCATTAAACATGGAGGGGTGGAGCCTTCATAGACTTTACACTTACATTCTAACATCTTTAGTACATGAAGGCACTCTTCATGCTACAAAGAGAAAAGACAACACCAGCCCAAGCCACAAAACGTTGGATTAACCATGGTAATATGCCTGTAAGATAGTCTAATGCAATGGTAGCACAAAGCTTATGGGAGTAACTAATATATTTGACATAAAATCCATTCTAAAGGTGGGACCCATATATGACACTGCTTTGGTGACCAAAAAAACTGAGAATAGATAGCCCATAGATGTAAGGGAGATCTACTAGTACTTTCCTAATATATATATAATGTATATTGTAATATAAATATCAATAGAAGACACCTAATAACATTCTGCTATGCATACATCTTAGTACCACCCAGCACAATATCAAGGAAGCTTCTCTCTCTAACAGATGAGAACAAATACAGAAGCCCACAGACAGGCAATATATAGAGTGAGACCATGGAATGCAAAGTCATAAATATGAATTCTCCATCAAATTCCCCCCCTAGGGAATCACTGAACTCTGCAGTAAAGCACTAAGATCCATAAGTGATGCAGGACACAAAGAAAACAAGGCTTCTAAACAAGAACTACCACAGACTGTGACATTATGGACAGGTATGCAAGAGTCTGCATCAGGTATGAGTGGACACAAGCCTCTATTACTAACCCAAGAAATAATCATACAAGCAAAGCACTATTAGAAGGGCCCATTGACCATCAGCAGATCCATAGGGGGTATCTTCAAAACTTTTGTTTCATATTTGGCAGTTTTGTCTTACTTTGTTACAAGTTCTCTAAAAGAAAGCTATCACGTATACACACAAAAAAGAAATTGCTCAATAATTAAAAACAACTAGCTACCTTTCTTAGTGCTGGAGTAGTCTTACAAAGCTATGAACAAGCCAAGCTACAAATTAAGACTGCTAGGTACAATGAATCCCATGGTACAACTGCAGTATGACTGTCAAGGTTGAAAATCACTATGTTTTATTTCATGTCACAGAAAAATATCTTTGTATCATGAGTATAGCAGTCATTACTAGAAAATGTGCTTTGAATACATGGCACCAATATCACCACGTTCAGAAAACGTAAAGGGAGGAAGGAACTTTAATTACTTGATTATGGAAAGCACTGAGAAACGTTGCTTGGGGGACAGCATGGCTGATATTCCAGTGAATTCACAGCAGCAGGAACTAACTGCACAGGATTTGTATAATACAGGGCAAATCAATGTTCCAATATTTGTGGGCTGTGTTTCATATAACATTATATTCCATATACTAAAAGCAATTAACAGTTGCTGAAGAGAGGAATGTATTATTCCTGAGTAGCTTTGCTCAAGTAAAAACACTGCTGTATGTAAATATGAATTCAGCTTCCCAGAGACAAGCTGCAGTTATAGGCAACTGAGACTGAGCAATTAAACACTGAGAATAGTTATGTATATGTATTATTTTGGGGAGATGCAGAGGTAGGAGGAGTCCAACATGAACTACACCTCAATGAGGTTCAAGTTATCCTGGGCCACAATGACAGTTTAATGAGCATGTTTGAAAAACAAGTAATTCAAAATATTAAAAGAAATGTTAAATATGTAGAAAATTATTTAGTATGTAACTTTACCTATGACATTCTAACAGTACGTCATACTTGCATATATTCTTGAAGTACTTCACAATTCATTTTTTTCTGTGATCAAATAATAGTAATTTTACCATTTTCAAAATTAATGGAGACTATTGGGAAAGTATGTGAAATTGAATTTCATATACCATAAGGATTATGGAATAGATGTTACAAGCCATTATATAAATGAATTTTATGGAATGTATAGGTATGAAAACATGTAGTTACAAAGAGAAGACATACCTTGAGGTTGGATAGGAAGACTCAATTTTAATGAAATCTATTCTCTCCTACTTAATCTATTAAATGTTGTGCAAACGAAATTAAAAGTGCATTTTGTCCAACTTGAGAAATAATTGCAAGCATCAACTCTGAGGGAAAATTTGACTACATACAGGGAATATTCTGAAAAAGAAGAAAAAGGAGGCTGACTTAAATAGAACAGGTAAGACAGAACAAATCATCAGTAAATAACAAGTTAGTAGAATAGAAAGTAACAGGCCTGCAGAAAATTATGTGACAGTTTGACAATGCAAGTGAAAGTAAATAATTTTATTTAATATTCTACAACATTAATAATTAGGAGCAAAATGGAAAAATATCTGATTAAAAATTATGGGGAAAACATATAAGTATGAAATGGAAATAAACATGCTTGGAAAAGGAACAAAACAAGACACGACGACACATAAGAGAATGATTGTATTCCAATGAATAATTTATGTACAACCTAACACTAAAACAAATTAATACAAACACATAGTTTTTCATTTGACATACATGGTGACTTAAACATTAATTACAAATGAGCTTTAAGATACTAAGCATGGAAACACAAACAGAATCAATAAAATTGAGTAGCATGAAGATTTAATATTAAATATTAAATAAATAGTATCTTACAATATCATATTAAATTATATTATCAGTAACTACAATAAAATCTCTGCAGTTTAAATAAATGATAGATCTATTAATTCTTAGGGCATTTGCTCAAAATTTAATTTGATATACTTTGACATGGTACTTCAAAGCAATAGAAATTATTTGAATCTCTATGTAAGATTCATATTTCTATACAAACATACAAAATGTACCTAAACTCATGAAAGAAACAATTACAAATTTGTATGAAATATGTTCCATAAAGTACTAGAGAGCTCCATAAACTTTGGTTAACACTACATGTTAAATTTAGGAGTTACTTCATTTGAAGCCTCATACAATACTGTGAGTGTGGAAGGTGAGTGAGTTCAAACTTCAGGCTGTGCTACATAGTTAAACCATTTGAAAAGCGTTCTGGGAAATCTTCTTTAAAAATTTATAATCAGTTATAATTTCAATTCAGCCTCAATATTATCATGAAATAACTGCCATGAGAAACACTTCATACTTAAGAAAACACTGTGATGAAGCCAGTGTCACTTCCATCATATTATTTTTATCTATGTAGTTTTGTCCTTGTTTCTTGAGTTAGTCCAACAGCAGCAATGAAAATGTCTTAAAAATATTGTCTTCTAAGATCCACCAGTCTCCATCGATTTAGTTCAATTTTCATGATCGGAAAGACTGTTCACACCACACTTGAGACATTTTCTTTCAGTTATTGTCTGTTTTGGTGATCAACTGAAAGCACAATGGAAGAAATTCAGAGCAATTAGTATTACCAAAGTAGAGTATTTTTTATTTTCATATAAAAGAGTATTATCCATTCACAATGTTCATACACAGGTAATCCCATTAGTATTGTGGTGTGCTTTTAATTTGTGTTTATCAGTTTTCTGTTCTCCTAAATTTAAGAGCCACTGCATATATTCCTTATCCTTTGTGATAAGAGAACACAATCACTTTCAAGTAAGCATATGTTGTATCTTGACTATTTTTCCCATTCTCCCTATCATGATTAATCCCCCGATGTCACATATAATGTTAACACCAGCAGCAGCTCCTGGTGTCATGCTCTCCCAATGATTATGGAATATCCATTGAACTATGAACACAAATGCAAACTTCAGGGATTTGTGTCAAGCATGTATTTAAATGTTTATTTTATTCTTTTATCTAAAGGACCTTTTTTGATGTGTATTTGTATGATGTTTGTGAGTTACTAGGCATGGGTTCTAAGAACTAAACTAATGGCAATTGGGAAAGCAGTACTCAGTTTCGATTGCTGAGTCATTTAATTAGACCTTTTGTTCAAGTGTTTTTTTCCTAAGTCACAGGTCACATAACTAATATGGAATATGTAAGCCAATTAACTAAAGGCAATACCTTTTGTACAGTATTAAATCATTCTTTTACTAATATAATCTAAAATGATTGTTTCAGGAGAATGGGAGATTTTCAACAGTACTTTCCAGACATGAACAAAACACTGATTTTATTCCTATTAACTGCATATGGGCACACACTTCTATTCTCAATAGGAAACATGGAGGCATCAGTAGTTCATGGCCATCCTCAGCTACATAGGGATTTTGAGGTGATCTGGGATACCTCAGGTTACCCTTCAAAATTTATAAAATAAAATAATCAAGACTGCAGTTGCAGTGTACTTGGCTTAGTATATGGGAGGGCCAGCCAGGATTCACAGCAATCACTGGAAAATGATTGAAGTTGGAAAATTCAAGTATTTGAAAACAATGTGAGAAATAGTATTATGTTGCCCTTCTTACCTATAGCTTGCAAGTAAACACTTTTGTTATGTCAATTTTCTTAGACTCCGTAAGTTAATATCAAGGTAGACTTAGTAAGTCTGACATCAGGACCACCTGAAAAATAAAGTAGTCAAAACAATCATGTTGTTAATGAAACAAGTATTAGGAGCATTATTCTGCTTTTGGATTGGGGGGTGGGAACATATTTAATGGCAAATTATTTCTATCCATTCCCTCAGAGTCAGAGGCATCAAATTCTTCCATCGACAAGTAATATGTGGCTGTAATTACAGTTCATGTCCTTAACTAGCCTTAACTTCAGCATCTTATTTTTAATTCATGTGTAAACACTGTTTCTGTTTCAATGCTGTCAGTATTTAAAGCTCTTCCCAGTAATTTTTTAGGATCTATACATCCCTGGATGCCTACTTGAGATTCATAAAGAAAATCAAACATGTGCAAGGAAGGAATAATCTATTCTTACATATAAATGAATTGGGATGGCTTGAAAGGTTATTTAGTAGTTCAGCTTCTATGTCAGCATGGTCAAAATGTGAGTTATAATCTGAGGGCAAACATGTAATGGGAAAACTTGCAATGTATTTCAAATGTGACAAACCAAAACTTTTATCTAATATAGCATTCTATACCCATGATGATAAATTATCAAAGGTTACCCTTCAAATCATTTTTAGTTACTAAGTCTTACTCATAGGATTATAACTCAAAATACTCACATTAAATTTCATCTTCTCCTTTTGATCATTGGCTAATGCAAAATTATTTGCTGACTCATAAAATCCCAGAGTTCTAAAATTCTTCACAAAAATGTTCACAAAACATTCATAACTATGTTATGAGTAGAAAGTTGGATATGGAAACCCAGCACTCCTGTGATGCTGGCAATCAAAGGTATTGGAAAAAATGGTTGTTTTCTTCTTGTTTAGCTGTTTATTTACAAAGGTCCGTATAAAATACAAACGCAGATAGATGTGGTCTTACTCCTTTCTCTTTAGGAGTGTCAAAGCTTTAACATTCTTTCTGAACATGTTTTTTGTTTCCATAAATTGTTCTTTTATTCTAGTTGTTCTCATGTAGCAATTCCCGAGAATGTATATATTGTTTATTTAAATAACTTGAAAACTCTTCAAACATTACTGCAAAATAATACATATTGTAATGCAAAATAATCAGTATTCACTTCAGTTGAAGGACTAAAATATAGATCCGTGAAAGAAAATCATTCTTTTCTTCAATTAAATTACAACAAACCATACTTCTCTAGGAAAGGGATTCCAAGTGTTAAATTATATTCATCTTAAGCTAAAATCCTTATGGTTTACAAAACAATCTAATTGAAAATTTCAGAATTATAAATCATAAAGTCTTAGTAGCCAACTCTAAAATTTGAATGATTACATATTCTTATAATTTCTGGGGTTTTTTTGGTCATGCTATCTTCTGACACATGGTCTTATGACTCCACTCTGACCTCAAACTTGTTATATAGCTGAGAATAATCTTGGCAGGTAAGTGTTCCTCATCAAGACCAACTTTACATGATGTCGTATGTTGCCTTTAATGTAATCCAGGCTACTTATTCTTGTAATACATTTGTGAGAACACTAGATGTCTACCTTCCTAGACGAGAAATATATAAAAATTGAACAAGTATAAATACATAAACAAATTTAGAAAAGTTACAGCTATTCATTATCACAAAAACGTGTCTAACAATTACATGGAGATAGCAGAATCATTTAAATTAAAAATTACATATTAATTGTATAATTTGCAAAGTTTAATACAGATGTAAAAAACAATTATTGATTCATGAAAAGAATATTATGTTATCCATATATAATATCATAAGATGACCATTATATAATTCCATATATAAATAAACAAATGTGCCTAGGTTAAAGAGTAAAGATACATTGTTTTTAGCAATTCTCTCATTAATTTAAAAATTTCAATTCTTTTTGACTGTTAATTTTTCTTCATAAAGATAAAAATTATCTATTTTTGGGGGGCGTTACTCATGACAGGGTTTCTCTGTATTGCTTTGGAGGTTGTCCTGGAACTCGCTCTGTAGAGCAGGCTGGCCTCACCCTCACAGAGATCTGCCTGTCTCTGCCTCCCAAATGTTGGGATTAAAGGCATGTGCCACATGATCGGCTGTCTTTTTTAAAGTAATTTTTCTCTAAGTAAAAGTAAGACCTAGCTTATTCTTCTCTATGAGAAACTATTCAGAAACAATTTTATACTTAATACACTGGGTAGTAATTGTCTACTGCATTGAAAAAGAATTTGCTAGATTAGTTTAATGTTAGATTACAATGTAATATTTACAGGCTTATATTTTTACTAGGAATGTGCTTCTGAAAAAAAGGATTTTTCAAATTAAGATATGCATCAGTTAATGAAAACATCTTTAATGCTGTCATGAAAAGTAAATATAATGTTATAGTAACTCACAAATGTAGAATTCCTTTCAAATGATGTTTCCTAAAACTGAAAAGAAATGTCTACCTAATGGCCTATCATTACTAAAACCACATTAATTATCTATTAATGTACAATAAGCCTTACTTTTGGTTAATAAAGATTTTTCTTGAGATGAGTAGCCAAAGTTAAAATTGAATATTCTTTTGAAAAATCTCATCACAATACTACCAAATAAACAAGTAATGAGCATCAAAAATTCGACTTTAAAAAAATTTCTCCCAGAAATTTAGTGGTAGTTTACAATGTAGTATTTACAAAATTATACCCTGTTGCACTCTATCCATCTAGAAAAACTAGATGCTAAAATTTTGTATTTGACTATTATTTACAAAGTTGTCTTGAATATTGTCATGCAACCAGGAAACACATACAAAACTGTGTAGTGTTCCAAGAGGTAGTACAAAAATTCATGAAAGTTGACAAAAAGTAGAAAAAAAACAGGTGCATCAGTAGGCTCGTTACTGCACAACATGCCAACTGAATAACCTTGTGATGTTATTTTTTAATGTGCAACTCACATGAAAAAAATGGTTGACTATTCTACTAAGAGAATAGAGTAAATGCATTATACATATATGTTCTCTGGCATTCAAACAATTCGGAAAAACTGTGAGTTCTGTGATCCCCCTTATAAATTATCAGTTTGTCATTAAATATAAAAGATAGTATTTACAACATATTTATAAGCTTATAATTTCCAAGTCTCAATATGTCTAGAATTACTACATGTTGATATAAAAATAGCTCATTACTTTCAAGTTATAATTTTGTCATGTATCAGATGAATAGTTTCTGATATATTTAGATCATTTGAAGAAATAAATCATATCAAAAATCTCAGTGACCAGAAAATAAAATGAAACCAAATCCCTTTTTATAACATACATATTTTACATAAAAGTGACACTTTAATGTTATGTTCATAAATAATTTAGTTGCTAAAGAGACCACTATCTCAACACCATGGTAGAATATTCACTCATTTTACATATATATATTAAAAGAGGCCTTTGTTAACACAATGTTTCAGGTAATTCAACGTTAACTATCAATACAATGAACCCTACATGACGTTAAACATTTTAGCAGCAAAAATAAATTCCCATTCTTATAATCCAAATACATTTAAAATTTGAACTATACCAGTCAATATTTTTCTAAATACATGTGTTAACAGGGTCTCTTTCAATCTGTTAAATTTATAAAATAAAGTAACTACATACAGTTAAACATTATACTGAAAATTAGTACATTATATTTTACCACACAACACTTATCCTAAATTTTGAACTAAAATATAATAAAAAATTTTAACAGAATTCATACACATAGGCATACATATGTAAAGTAGGTCAAATAAACTTCATACAAATTGTATTCAAAACAAGATTGATACTTGTAATATTAAGACTGAATAAATATAAATAACATTTTATATATACATATATAATATATATATACACACACATATATATATATACACAAATACACATGAGTTGGTGTTTCTACAAATGTAAGAATTTCAGACAGTGTACACAGAGGTATTCTCTTATTTCTGCACTATTTAAACACTTTACTCACAATCGCTGATTTAATTACTAAAAACATGACTGATAAATGGAAATATGGAAGGGGTTCAATGACAGAAATGGAGTGTTTGATAAATGTAACTGACTACATTTGTAAATCCAAAGTATGACATATCAATTCTAAGTTAAAAACTAAAATGTTTGCCTTTACAGGGCAGTTCACAATTCACAATGAGCTACAGGAAAAACATTGCTGCTTCATAGTACTTAATAAGCAACATGATGAGTATCTGTGACAACAAATTCAAAGCTTGTATTTTAATAACTACTGTTTTATCTAATTATAGAGAAATTCATGTATAAAACTATATACATATATGTAATATGGGACAATCATACTGATATCAAATACTAAAAATTTAAAAAGAAATTATATATTTTATTCATAACATGTATCAAAACCCATATAAATGATATTATTTATAAATACCCAATACAAATATTTTAAGAAAAATAATTTGATATATACAAATGTAGAATGCCACATGGGTTTGGATTAAAAATGGTATTTGGGGACTTATATGCACAAAGAAACTAAAAATTTACTGATGTTATATTCCATTGACTCATGCTGATTTTTCTGTCCAGTCATATCTTTACTCATGGGGATTTCCGTGATACAAAGAACTCTGTATTAATATATAAAACACATTTGAAAATTGAACAGAAATTTCCCATTAAATTTCAATCCTGTTTGATCTTTTAGGTACACAATGACACATTAGTACAATGTGCTTGTGGGGTGTGGGCTCTATAAGCATACTTTTTAAAATACTAATAAGTTATGACATATATTTATGTTTGGAATCTTTACTTATCTTGAAGGCGAAAATGTTATTTTACATCAGATTCATCTACAAATCACATGAAATACCTTGGGGTCAAGTCATATGAAATGTATCACAGAGGACATTGCTCCCAAATGGTACCCTTGTCTATTAAATTCTGTTTCAAATTGGCATAAAAAAGAATAGATATTTCATGAACAAGCAATGAAAATAATTCTAGTAGTATAATGATTTTCATAAATTAGTAAGTTCCATTACTCTATTATATGTAGATCAATGAAAAAGAATATGCTATCCTAGACAATAGCGGAATGTTTTTCTGAATCCATCATGACAAATTTTCTGTTATGCAGGTCAATATAAGCTTCTGAGAAACATTTAACCATGACTATCATATTAAAAGGATTCCGAATAAAATTCCATAGTGATTATAGTATAATGTAAGTTCTCATTGAAAGGACAGTCACAATAATCCAATAAAAATTATACTCTATAATATAATTCTACTATAATTCCATAGAAATTCTACTATTATTTTCAAATTGCTTTAAAAGCATTTCTTATGTATTTAATCACAAGATTTGTGGTCTTCACATCAAGATATTGATTCATTTCAATAATTGCTGAAATATACTTAAAATAATTCATCTTCCAATTTATATTTAATGTAATTACCATAGCCTGTTGTTTCACATTACTCTTAACTACCCAAAATGGGAACATAAGATTGTCTTGCTTTCTATAATTCTTATGAAGCACAATAGATTTCCCTTGTGATTGCAACAATAATTTGAAAAACTTTAACACATACGAATTGTCAAAAGTGTAGGTATTTTTACTAAATAAAACCACAAATAAAGTGAAGTATTTCCTGATGATTCAGGTTTGAAAGAAAACATAAGTTTGTCAAGAATTACCTTACATTTATTTCTATAGTAAATAAATTATGCCAATGAATTAGTATATTTAAAACCATGTATTACTTTTATAAGTTATCATCTCTTGAAAATTTAGAGATGTTTTACAATTGTAGAAGCAGATAAATCTACTTTTTGTATATAAACAGATATGCAAAAATTCAAAGTACTCCACAGTAAGAAAACACTACATTAGTAACTGATACACAAAAAGAAAAGCTCAAGGACACTCATATTCAAAAGAAAAAAAAACCAACTGGTATAGAGATAATCATCCAAACTTTGTCAAAACAATTAACTGTCCCAAAACAGGAATAATCACCCAGACTCTGCCAAAAGAACTATCTGTCCCAAAGAAGAAATAACCACCCAGACTCTGTCAAAACAACTGTCCCAAAGCAGGAATAATTTGATCCACCACAAAATAATTACTCACACTCAGATCAGCAGCCACAGAATTAATTTAAGCAACCCTCTCTTTACATCAGAGTAACACACTGTATATTCCACCAATGACTTGTGATGAGAAGACTAACCTCTCGAGTGCATTCTCAGCATTCTGGTAAAATATTAAATTCCTTTCTTACTCAAAAGTCAATGAAAGCCAGTGTGTGTGTGTGTGTGTGTGTGAGTGATGCATGTCTTTAATCCCAGCATTTGGGAGGCAGAAGCAAGCCAATTTCAGTGAGTTTGAAGGCAGCACAGTATACAAAGCAAGATTCAGGACACCCAGGCCTGAATGTTACACGGAGACACCTTGTCTTGAGAAACCAAAAATCAACAAATGCCTTACTAACTTAGCAATATCTCAATGTGCTAAATAAAAAAGCTGTCTGAATGATTAGGAACATGTTCAAGAAACTATCACAAAGGGAAGAACTTGGTGCCTAGAAGATACACTTTAACTTCCGAGGTCTTTCTGGAGTTTCTTATGAAATGGAAAGGAAGGTGAAAGCTACTATGTGATGGGAATATAGAGGCACTTTAATAAAGGAAAATTAATAGGAATAAAACAAATTTTACTATATTGGAAAAATCTACAGCTCCAGTCTCCTTGAAAAAAATTGATCATGTTCCAATAACTTAAGTTTAAAATTTTTGTTACCTAAGTCATTAAATGGACACTTTGGCTAGACTTCAGAGTCATCATTTTGAGCTTTATTTCATCATGCTCAGTAATCACAGCTCATCATAAATCCAGCCAAGGTCCTTGACAAGGTAATTACTAAATAAAACCATGTAAAAATGGAATGTGCTATGTAGTTCTTTCATACTGATGATGTAGGAAAGACAGTTAACAAAGAAACTCAAGCTGTAGATTATGGTTCACTGACAGAGAAACTGCTTCATGTGACAAGATTCTGAGTTAAATTATCAGCACTGAAAACAATGTGAAGTGTGCAGGCCAAGTGTGTGGTTAGTTACCTAGTGAGACCTACAGTGATCCTGAGTTCAAAACTCAATATCCATTCATTAATTCTGTCAGAAAAACATACACAGACAGTTGCTTTATTAAAGGACAAGATCCTATGATGAGAATCAGTGAGAAGATTTATATACTAAAAAATTTAGAGACACTTTGAAGTAAAAAAGAAGGGAGTCCTGAAATTTGAATAGAGATCACTGAAGAATTTGGAGCCCATGTTCACACACACACTCAGACTCTTAGTGAATAAAAATTAATAAATAAAGGAATCTGCTAGATAGAATGGGTAATGCAATCCTGTAATCCCATACTTGGAAGCCTAGGCAGGAATATTGTGAACTAGATGCCATTTGGGCTAAATCACATAATAAAACCATGTTTCAAAAGGCAAAAAAAAATCACCAAAACCAAATCCAACCAAAATGCCAAAACAAGCAAAAAATCCACACAAATGCCTGACTTCTCCAATTTAACACTACAAAAGAAACTATTTACTTGGCCACAGTGTTCAATCCCCATACAAAAATGTAATTGAATAAATATGCAAAAGAACAATAAATGCAGAGGCACAGGCATTATTATATCACTAGAATAAGACATCCAGGATTTTGTAACACTGTATATAGTGAATAGTCATCACTTCCCACAAGTAAATCATCTAAAAAGTTGATTACTGTCATCACAGATCATTGTTCGTACCAAGGTTTTTGTTTTAACTGTTAACTGATCCTCTAGAAAGCATTAAAGATGCTCACCTATTTATTATTCTATAATGCAAATGACTTAATCTATCTTGTGCTACTTTTCCCACTATGTAAGTACAACATTGTCTACACTTACCTCTAACTTTAACATATCAAAATGCACTCTTCAAGATACTTCCTTTCACTACTTCAAAATGTCACAATGTTATCAAATAGGACGTGATTCCTGGAAATGAGATTTTCCTACTTTGTAATAACCTCTCCATCATGTTAAGTTAACATAGAATTCATTCATGTGGACTAACAAAAAGCCAGAGTAATAAATAAACATATAATCATATTAATGTTAAGATTATTTGGTTATTTCCTTCATGTACTAGTCTTACTGTTTTTCATTTATTTTATTTTTTTCAGTTATATGAATGGTTTCTCATGAAACACAAGTAGATTCACACTTGTTTCTTCAGAGCCTTCTGTACCCATTTTTAAATTCTGAAATAACATAGTGAATTGATTATTTCTTGTTTTAATTACTGCTGGGGATTGATGCAGGCTTAGTGCAGGCTAGGCAGAAATTCTCCTAACATGGATAAGACTATGGTTCCTTTGATATTTTTGCTAGATTATTTTGGTTATCACATAACAAAGCTGGCTCTATAGCTATGGATGATTAGACCTACTTTTACATCTTTTTGTTATACCACGTTTTTAATTAAACTTTAGGTATCTTACTCCTAGTATGACATTTTAAGCGTTATGTTAGGCAAAGAATGTTGAAAAATAAAAAAAAAAATCACACCCAAATAATAATTCTGGTAAATGATTTCTTCTTATCAATCTAGAAATTATTTCTCTTAATGCTTCCTTGCCTACTGAGTGCCAACTTCATCAGATCACTACAATGATTCTCACTAATAAGTATAAAACTTTGTTTGCCTTTTCTGTACTCACTCAAGATGGAAAAATATAACTTTGGTCTCTATATTCATAAAATGTGATGTTTAGCTATCAAGGGATAATGATGTGAAGTTCTATGAGAAACAAAACCTATGTTAAAAATTCCTTAGAAATACCACAAATATATATATAATAAAAGACCTCATATTTTGCTTCATTCAAAAAATGAAAGAATATCCTCAACACCAAATTCCCGAAAAGAGAATATTATAACAATTTTATTGGGCTATTTCAGTATCTTTATAAACCGTCCATAGAGTAGCAGCATAGCTAATCAGTATTTTATTTCCTCAGGACAATGAAGGCCTCTAAGGGCAAAATAAATGAATACATAAACAAATAAACAAAAAATAAATTAATAAATCATGGATGAATAGATCAAAAAGCCAGTTGATAAATGAATATATGGGCATATGATATACAAAAAAAACAGTGTAAGAGATAAGGAATCCTTGAACATCTATGCCTGGCCTTAATATCCCTCTTTTGGGAATTTTTGAGACAGGATCTCACCACATAGCCCTCACTGGCTGGAATCACTATGTAGAGGAAATATTCATTGAACACAGAGAATTTCCTCCCATGCCTCCTGAGAACTCATCATCAAAAATAGCCATGATCAGTCATCATCTACTGACCCACAGTTAATTACTATCCTTCCTTTTCTTCCCTTTTCCATGGGCCTTCTTGCACCTTAAAATTCAAAAATGACTCAAAATGTAATCACCTTCAAATTAATGAAATAGAGTACTATCTATAATTAAAAATGACTGAACTTAGTAATGTACATCGAGTCATGATAAATCAATATCTAAACATTTTTGCAACAGTTATCCAACATATCACAAAGTTAAAATTTTCTATAGAATATTCTATCAGATTCTACACAGTAAAAACATTTCCTTAGTCAATTTACTACCCTAAAACAAGGCCTAATGCTCCTCAGTCCTGTGAATATTAAGAGAATAAAATTATAAAATATTTCATTTAGGTGTTGTAAAATAATATTTTTTACAACTGCAAAGAAAAGTCAAGGTTCCTTCTTATTGGCTTAATAATGAGCTGAATGGCCAATAATTATGCAGAAAGAGGTTAGGTAGGACTTCTGCACAGAGAGCTCAAGGAAAAAGAACAGCAGAATCACCAGGAGGGCACAGATAAACACATGCAGGAGAAGAGGTAAGATCTAACTGTCATGTGGCAACACATAGATGAATAAGAATGTGTTAATTTTAGTTATAAGAGCTAGTGGGACAAGTCTAAGTAAGCTATAGGCAGAGTTTTCATAATTAATAATAAGACTAAAAGTTATTTTTTCTTAGCTGGATGCCTGATATTTATGATAGGTTGGTTAATGATTTTGGAATACAGGTCCTTAACAAAAAATGTAACACTGATACAGATGCTTAAACAAGTTATCAAGCAGACAGAAAGGAAGCAATTAACAAATCTGGCTATATCACACACTGGTTTTGAAAGAAAAGTAATGTCATGATGAAAAAGATGTCATATCTATATAAGACTTCCACAAAGACTATTTATTTCTAATCTGACAGTGGTGACACATGCCTTGGATTCCATCACTAAGGAGGGGAAAACAGGTGGATCTCTGTGAGACAGAGCTACAAAGCAGGTTCTAGAATTATTTAACCAGAATAATTATACAGAGAATCTCTGACTCAAAAACCAAACTAAGAAAAAATCATTTCTCTGATTCTAAGCAAATAAAAATAAACTGACTGGCTGTCCTCAATTTTAAGTTTAAACAATTGCTGACTTATTTTTGAAATTACTATTGCTGTTATGAACTAAGCTCTAACTTACCTACTTAAACTGATAACAATACCCTGTGACTGGAACACTGTAGCTGAATGCAAAAGTGTTAATATGTTTGGCAAGCATTTTAAGTGATTTTTGACATTCATCACTGACTAATTTTTGCTTACAAAATATTATTATTAACAGATACAAACATGGCCTTAAGAGCCCTAATGGAGTTATATATGACAATTCATGTTTTATTATTTAGTACATGATTTATTCTACAGTCAACAAATGCTTATATAATTTCCTTTGTTAGTGTGATGAACTCTTACTTCTCGTCGCCCCGAGAGTTTACTATGTAGACCAGGTTTAACTCAAAACATGTATTAATATTCTTCCTTTTGTCTCCGGAGTGCAGGATCAGAGGTATGTCCTAAAATACCCACATCCATGTATAATTTAAGCTATTATTATTTCAAACAATAATTCATAAAGCTACTTTACATAAAAACCAGGTAAGTGAAAAAACACTGAAGATTTCCTTGTTGTGCAGAGGTGTGATCTTCCAAAGTGAAAGCTAGAAATAAGGCAGAGTAGGTAAGTTGAATGTAAGGTGGGTGTGGTAGACTGTGATCCTACCACTAGAGGGTAATCTCCACATGAAGCTGGCTAGTGAGGTAGAGTATCCAAATCAGGAACTTCTATGTTCAAGTGAGATACCCAGTCTCAATCTATAATGTGGAGAGCAAGAAAAGATTACACCTTTGTTCTTATCATGAATTTTCACTAACATACATATAAATGTAGTTTCTGCAGCATACACATGCATAAAAACATACATGAACACATGTGAAAAATAGAAAACCTTTTAAACATCACTTGTGACTCACATAAAAATGTCAACATACTAGAAACATTAACATATTTGGAATTGTTTTTATCTCAACAACATCCACAAGTGATTTGAATGTGTTTAAAACCTCAGAGCTAAAGCCAAGAGCAGGGTTGAAACAGCAAAAATATCATTCATGAAACAAACAGCTAATGAAGCATTATGTTCCATTCTTTTATAATTGCCACTGATATCCCAACTAGCAGAAATCACTACTACAGGGCTAGTGTTGTGGATCTATGGCCAAAGGTACATGATGCGAAGCCTGACAATCTAAGTTAAATCCCATTTACCATTCCAGTTCTTTCTTCTTGTTATAATTTTCATAAATATTTCTAAGTGGATCTACAATACTTGCTACTTAACTTTGTTTTGTAAGCACATGTGGTCTTGTGCCTTTAGTTCTTAGGTATTTCTTTAAGTAACAGTTCCCAATCTCACTACAAGAGATGACTCTTCACCCCGGTAAACTTAAATGACAATTATTGTTTTTTTTTTAACATTACAACAAAGATTGCTAAAACACTCCTACAAATGCATTAAACAGTCATAAGGTAAAACACAAAAAATGTAGGCAAATATTTAAACATTATACAAATAGCTAGAGTTAATATTAGAGTATTGACACAGTCGCCAAATAGTCATGGATTCTTAATATTTATATATATATATATATGCTCTAAGTGATATATATATCCCTTAAAGCATATTTTCTGACATACAAAATTTATAATAACAACAAACCACTGCATTTATTCAGTAACTAATAATATGATAACATTTGTTATGATGGTATCAGAGCAACTTAATCAAATGTAGAAATCAGAACAATGGCCTCTTGCCATACTCACCAGATTCCACAAAGTACATGCTCTGTAAACATTACCCTTTCCTCCTGATTGATATCACTTACAAATCCAGAATGATCGTTCCATTTGTCAAGACTTGGGAGCTCCATTTTTTACCCATGTTTTAGTTCCATATCAACAGGTGCCTATGCCTTTTGTGATCCATGGACATTTCATGTTTTGCTTTCAACAAAATACAAAATGCAGAAACAAATTATCTCAAAACATTTATGAAAAGATATTGGAGAAAATGGAAAAAAGCAATACAGCACTTTCCAGGTTTGTGGATGCAATGTTTTCATATCCATGATTATTTGGTTTCATTTTTAATACAGCATCATGTTATGCAACATAGCGTGGCCTGGAACTTGTATTTATCATCTCAGCCTCAAGTGCTGGGATTATAAGTATGTACCACTATGCCCATCTAAACAAATAGTTTCTATTGAGAGTGATAAGCAATATAATATGTAATGAGGCACATTGACTAGATTTCAGAATTATTTCAAGCTCATTTCTTTAAATCATTATGATCAGGCAAGGTCCTATGTCATCATAAACCTAATCAAGGCCTCTGTAAAATGATCTTTTTTAATCAAAAGATTACATTACCTTGCATGTTTTATGTTTCTGTCTTAAATGCAGCTATTAGTATTTACAGTCTTGTTATAATACTAGAGGGTGGTATTCAGTCTCATGAAACTTCATAACATTCTTTGATGAAATTCTTTTCAGTCATCAACTATATTGACAAAAGGATATCACATGAGACTGAAATAACATGAACATAGATATATACTATTTCAGTATTAGACACTGTTCTTTTACAAAAAGAATAAACAGTACACCTTAATATGGAATATAAAATCAATAATCTGAGATGACACATGATAAACATGAAGTAGAATATAAGCATGAAAAAGAATAAAACATAATATCAATTTCTAAATTTTAAACATTTCACCTTTTAAAAATAATTTCACATTGTTTTATCACTTTTAGAATTTATAGTCTACCTCCAGTGCCCTATTAGAAGAATTATTAAGAAACCAGTTCCCATTATATTTATGTCAAACTTTCAAGAATAATTGGACGGGTCATAATTAAGGACTAATATGTTGAAAGTTTTCATAACTTATAAACTGCTGTCTGATAAATATATAGCCATGAACCTGAACTAGTTACTAATCTCCCTGACTTCCTTTCCTAATGTTGGGGTGTACCAAGGCAACTTACTTATGTTTAGGAAATAGCACTCATGAATTCATGCATGCTAGGCACAATGTTTTTTTTTCTAGCTGTGTACATGTGTTTCCTCACTTTTTCCCATAATAGAACCTCCATATGCTTTGCTAAAGAGAAAATTAATGATATGGTGGTGGTGCATGGGTTCAATCTCAGCACTAGGGAATCATAGGAAAATAGATAACTGAGTTCAAGCCAGCTTGGTCTACAGAAAAAGTCCAAGTGAGAGAGAGAGGGAGAGAGAGAGGAAGAGAAAGAGGGAGAGACAGACACCGAGAGACAGAGACAGAAAGGAAGGAAGGAAGGCAGGCAGGAAGGAAGGAAGGAAGGAAGGAAGGAAGGAAATTTAAATTTTTCCAACAAAGATATTTATGGAAAAAAAAGATATTTATGGAGACAATCATAATGAGTATGCACAGAAATCTATGAGAAATCTGTTGCCCAACTATTTTAGGCAACATGCACTCATGAAAAAGTATGATGAGGTAGGGAATGCTAGAAATGTCTGTCATATTGGCATTTAAGAGGATAAGGAAGAGGGATGAGAGCTTATGATCATTTTTGCCTATGAGGTTTGAGGTCAGCCTGTATTAAATTACTCTGGAAGAAAAATGCAGGATGCCTTCTTAGTAGAAAATCAAATATCAGAAGTATGTGGAATCCTAAAGACTAGCATGTGGATTCATATGTCCAATCTGTATAAAATCTTAGTAACATTTTTATAGTAGTCTATATTACATAATTGTCACTAGTAAACAACACTCTTTTGACATTCCCAGAAAGATACAGTCATGAGAATATCACTGCTACTAGTAAAACATCTTTTTAAGATGAATTTTATAATTCACTTTCAACTTGCAAAGAAAGTGGGAGGTTGCCTTTAGTTCAGGTATCAGACAATATATTTTTTTTCAATATACTGTTCTCACTCATGCCTAAATCCTAGAGCCTCTTGTTAACCAGTGTTCAGAACATGGAAGATGGCTTCATTACCAAGACCTCTAGACATGACAGAGAAACTACATACATGAAATTTCAGACACCACATAGATGAAGAATTATGACTGACAACTGAGGAAGAATCAGTTTACTTCAGAGAAAAGCAACAATATTATACCTAACACAAGTGATGAACCTAAACAGATGTATATAAGAAACAAAATGAACCTAATTGCTTTGATGTATCTGTGTGCACATGTGTGTGTGCATGCATGCATGTGTGTATAGTTACAGATGGTGAAGAAATTGAGCATGCTTGGAGTACATGAGAATAACTAAGTGGGAATGACAGGTGGAAATGATATAAATATAACAGTCACGTATTAGGTTTTTAATTTTAATTAAAAATAGGTAACTTACTCATCATTAGGAATGTCTTCCCACTGTAAAATACCTATTTTTGATGACTAATTGAAATTAAATTTATTTACCAAGGAATTTCTTTACTATGATTCAAAGATATAAAGATATCTGCTTCCCTCAATACATGTAGTGAATACTACATTAATGGTGATAACAGATATAACCTTAATATGAAAGTTAGAGCTCCATATGCTTATATCAAGCATGCACAACCTTATTTCCCAATGCCCAGGCACTGACCCTTATTTTGGTTTGGTAGATTAATACTTACCATAATAGATTTCATTCCTAGATCAGGTCTTTCATATGATATGAATTACAAACAATTGTAAACCATGATCAATGAAGTAAAACCATTCTCAAAAGCATTAACTTGTATCCCAAATGTTTTAATTAATGACCATAATAAAAACATGCCACTGCCATAATTTAAGTGCATTTAATAATCTGATTCACTGTCTCCACATATCTTTAAATGTGACATATTAAAGTGACCATAGTGCCATGTGAATATTAGCAAATTACATTCTTAACTTTGTTATCTTCAATATTTTGACCAGTAAGTTAATGCATGAAATAAGTGTCAGGAATCAGGAAAAAAAATATCACAACTACTTTATCCTAAGTTAACAGCTTGAGGAAACAGCATGTCTGTAGTTACCTCTTTTACAATAATTTCACACAAAACATATTAAGGTTCACTCTGACTCTAACAAAATTGACAAAGAAAAACCTCAATTCAATTGCTCTATGCATTTATTAGCTTTAGCTATAATTAATGCAGTAAGGAGGGGTCAAAAAGCTTGCAGGCTACACAATTTCACAAGACGCAATGCAGGGGAAAAGGTAAGGCTGATATTTATCAACCATATCTTAGGGTCTTGGTGGACGCATTCCTGGGGGAGGTGGGCCTAGAAAGGAAAAACAAAATTCCATTAAAGTTATCATGAGTATATAAATATGAAAGGATCTGGATGGGATTCCCAGATCCTATCATAGCCACTAACCTCTAATTCCTGGTGGTGGGGGTCTCATTCCTGGAGGGGGCATGCCTATGGGTGTACCTCGAGCAGGGGGAAGGCCAATTGGTGGGCCCATGGGTGGTCTCATACCAGGTGGAGGAGCCATAATTCCTGTAAAATGACAGCCATATGTAATCCCTTCATGTGTCAGCTCAGTAAATAATGCTCTTATGATTTTGCACAAAACAATGGTTAAACAAATGAACCAATATGGTTAATGAGAAATAATGTCCCTTATACTTTAATACCAGAGTGCCAACCTAATTCCCCTGATTCTATAATCTTTCACGTACATCACGTCATGTAAGTCTAGCTTCAAACCTTGTGATCTAAATTGGTGACCTGGCAGAAAGGTTTTCTAGTACACACTGGTGGCAAAGACAGCAGGATTAACTAAACATTATTTGGTTGGGTTTAAACTTTACTCCTTGAATTGGAACCTGTCCCAGACAAAGCTCCTTAGATTACCAGGAATCTAGACAGGTCATGAACCTAGGGGAAACAAAATCTTAATATTCCATTAAATAAATGTAGCTATGATAACATTCTGCTATACTCATAGATCAGTGACTTGCTCAACCATCTTCAGAGAAGCTTCTTCCTCCTGTAGATGGAAACAAATTTAGAGACCCATAGACAGACAAAGTGCAGAGAGAAAGACCTTGGAATTTTCAGTTCTAAATGTGTTGCCTCCATCAAATCCTTCCCCTTGGACCTCAGGAAACTCTAATGAAGAAGAGGAAAGAGCTTGTAAGAGTCAGTAAGGATAGAAGGCTCTAAGGAAAAAAGTCCCTTGAGACACAACAGGACTGATGAAGATGGAACTTAGAGATAGTATTAGCATCCAGAACCTGTATAATTATAAGCCATACGGGAGTACCAGTACTGAAAACAGAAGAAGACACAGGTCCTCATACCTACCCAGATGTTATTCCCAATTGATAACCATTTGCAAAGGAAAAATGAAGAGTCCCAAGGGATATAAAAACCACAGTTAAAGACAGGCTCAATGCCCAGCAGTATATTCCCGACACAAAGCTGACTCAACTAATTTGGAGGGGTATTGTCTCATAAGGCTTCGTCTGAATATTAATGATTCTTAACTTTATAGATCTTTTAGTCATATATTTATGCTTTCACTTTGTTTTTATGGGTTTTCTGTGTGTCCCCAAATGTGTTTTAGGTATCTGTATATGTTTCTTCTGCTTTTACTTTAGTTCTTTCTTTCTTTTTTGTTGTTGTTGTTGTTGTCCTAACCTCGTTTATTTGGTTTTAATTTACCTTATTTTATTACTGCTTTTTTGATGCCTGCTCATATTTTAGTGAGAGAAAGGAACGATGTCAATTTGGGGAAGTGTGGAAGTAAGAAGGTGTTGGAGGAGGGGAACCATAATCAGAATTACAGAAGCAAAACTATTTTCAATAAAAAATAATAAAATTAGAATCATAGATCCTAAACTTGTAGCAAGGCAAGGAAATGATGCCTTACCTCTTTCAAAGTACTTTGGGATGGCATTTCCTCAAGATGACAGAATCTCTTAGAAATCCAAATCCTTACCTGGAGGTGGGGTTGCTCTGCCTACGGGTGGAGGAGGTGTTCCACGCCCTGGTGGGTACTGTGTTGGAGCTCCAGCAATGCTGGCAGTGGCAGCAACTGCAGCAGCTGCTACAGTGCCTCTTCCCTGTGGTGTCATGACCTGAAAAGTTAGACCAAACAGACAAAGATGAGGAATGCTCATTTTCCAATACATAAACAGAATCAGTAACTATGTCCTATTACAAATATTAATTGCTGTATCTTGTACTTATCTTACTCTAGTTTTAAGCTGATGAGGAATAAATCCAGGAATTTAAGCATGCTAAAGCATGCATGTATCCTGATGTGTTGAAGTTTTGGGGCTCTGGTTTGTTTTGTTTTGTGGCATAGTTGTTAGGTTTTGTTTGTTTGTTTGTTTGTCATTTTAGAGACACAGTCTCTCTATGTAGTCCTGGCTACCCTGGATCTCAGAGATATGTGTCTCTCCAGAATTCAGAAGCCAAAGGCAGGTACTACTACATCTACCTTCAGCCTCATGCCTTTAAATCTTGGTGTATCACAATTTCATAAGCTTTTGATTTCTCAACCTGGCATACACAGCTAAATAATTCTTTGCTTATCAATTCAAAGTGTTTTAGGTAGCATATCCTTGTCTCTTCCTTATACATACTTGAGTATGTTTTTCTAGGACATATACAACTTAAATGGTATAGGTACACACTTATGTTTCCACCATTTCCTCAGTCTAGTCTCTTGTTCCATTTTGTCATTAGTTGGAAACCTTGTTCTTGTCCTACCTGCTGGGATGGACCTCCAACTCCTCGGACAGGACCTGCTAATCCAGCAGGAGCTTGTGGAATAGGTACACCAGCTGGTACTCCTCTGCCGGCTGCCCTCCCAACCCCAGGGCCACCTGCAGCGCCAGCAAGCGGCACCCGAGCAATACCAGTCTGAAACACACAAAAGAAAAAAAACTTGAATCTTAAACAGCATGTCCATTGTGTTCAAATGTGAGAGATTTTATTCAAAGGGAACATTTTAGAATCCTAGCTCCTTTATTAGCTCTAAATACAAATAACGCAACAGATACTGTATAGTCACCTTCAGATTTGGAATAGCTAATATCAAATTGTGAACATATATCCTTAGATTAAACAAGTCAACTCCTAGACCACCAACTTAACCCCCCTAAAATTTGACTTGTGCCTTCTTTCTTTGCAGTTCTCATAGTCAGTTTACCAGGTAATACAATCAGCATGTTGTTGCCAGAACATTAGAACTGTTTTGGGCAAATTAAGAAGTATATCCTTTCTTAACACACCAGAAAGGAGAAATAAAGTAAGCTGACCAAGTCTAAAATGTAGGACTTTACTGTGCAGATTTGTTCACACGTAAGAGGGTGTCCAGTTTGTCCAGTGTTCGTTCTTTAGATTTGGACCACTATATTGTGTTTGCTAATCACTCCCTATAGGTGCAAAAACACATATAAAAATATTACTCCCTAAATAGGGTAACGTAAACTGAAACATTTTATTGTTTAAAAAACTCACTCCTAGGGAATACCCAGCATATAGGTGAAGTAAAAAAAATCCTTCTTCCCTAAAGATACAACTGAACCAATTACTCATATTAAGTACTAGGTATATTTTGATCACACACAATTCAAGTCCCTCTACTGTATATCGATAAGACACTAAAGTAACAAAGTGTTATCCACATTCTTGATCTGCTCTTTATGAATTAAAGGCAAAGATGCAATTCTTGCCCTGCATCTTCCTTACATCTTTAGGAGGTGGCCCCTCCACAGTCATGGATACCAGGTTCTCTCCACGTAGCAAGACCAGACCCAAAACCCGCTTTTCTTCACGCTCTGGCTGTTTTGCATTCTTTGGCCTACAAAGCAGAAGTCAATAAACATTAGTAAAGTCACTTTTTGTGTGATCTTTACATATCAATGGTATCAATTAAGACAAAAACTGGTGCTAAGTTTCTCATGTAACAGTAATTTATCTGCCGAATTACTCTGTGAACTTATTAACCATGCTTAAATAGTACAATTATTTTCCTATGTATGTTCCCTTGACATTACACAAATACCTAAAATGATCTTCTGCTTCAAAATAGATGTGATTGTCATGACAAAGCCTTTTAAGGTAGGTGAAACTGAAGTCTCAATTATACTAAAATTACTAGTGCATTAGAAGTAACTACAGTATTGACATCAGACTATTTGAGTAAGTTTTAATTTTGTCAACATCATTTGCATGCATGCAATGATATGGATACAATACAAGGATCTGATCTATTTCTGAAAAGAAAAATAAGAATGGCCATGTTACCGTTTCTGCACCACTTCAGTCACCCAGCTCAAGTATACCTCCTGCCCCTGCCTCCCTCCCACTTCATGACCCAAACAAGCCTTACTTGATCTTCCTGAACTCATCACAGTCACAGAGGATCAAATTCATATGCTTGTCAAAAGCCTTGAAAGTGCCAATGAAGATTCTTCCGTCTTGCAGGATACATCTCATTCTGTAGTCAATGTGCTGCAGCATCTTGCTACTCTTACCCACAGTCTGCAAGTAGTAAGGGAGTATCAATGGTAACTTCATCCGTAGCCTAGTTTTCTTTCTGTTTATTACCTATGTCTACAAAAAGGTGTATTTAATTGTCTCCCTTTATTCCTCTGAATTGTCTCAATTCTGAAATATCAACTTGACTAGGAAACACTTTAAATATTCCTGCACTCCTCAGAACCCTAATTAAGGGCCTTTCCTATCTAATAGGATTATAAAATTGACCATAAACTTAAACAGAGTACATGCCCTCTAAACTATTCCTGTAAACCTAAAAAGACTACCACAATAAAAAATGTAAATACCACCAACTCATGTAATTCATAATTAGCTCTCTCTCCAATGCCTCCTTGAATCCATCCTACCCGTAACCATTACTAAAATCCTTTTATTAAGACAGTAACTAAGGAACAAGACTGGCATTGAACTTGATAATGATCATGAGCTCTTATTCTTCCTACCTCTCCCACCAAATTGCCAGGGTTTTAAGTATCAAACACAACACTTTGGCATTGGAAGCTACATCTTTTCCCTTGCTAATGTGTCATACTTTCAGACCCACAGTATGCCAGATTTGGGAAAATCTCCCCTTATCTACCTTTATTTCTGTATTAATTAAATGAAAAGCTGGTATTCCTGGGTAGTTATGTTCTGCAACTGAATCTAAGAGTCCTCCATATGTATGGTGGTCTCTTAAGGTTATACTCATTGACTAAAACTAAATGGTAAGACCATCCCTTGGTATCCTTTCAAAAGCTTTAGATCTCCATTAACGTGACAAATACAGCTATCACTTAACTGTCATACAATGAGCATACATGCCTATGGATGAATTCCTATTTCTAAATTTTGGTACCTAAAAAAAACTACACATAATGAGAAACTATGACTTGAGGACATGGTAGTAGCTATACAGCTTACCATGATTGTTGTTCCACAAGGGCCACTTGACAGTGAAATTTCAAGGTCCTTAATACTTGGGGGAAGGCTATAAAGGAAGGTGTAATGCAGGTTCACTTAGACACAATGTAAGCTTGACTGAAGCGTTACAGACAATGGATGGGTGCTACAAAAGGAAGAACATTATAATTGTACCTTAGTATATTATTTTAAAAAAACAATTTTCAAATAGCCTATCTTCATAAATACCGGTGCTTTAATATCTAACAAAGAACTCCATCCCTGTCTTAATATTAATTTCACCCTTGAGATCTATGAGACCAGTTGGCTACCAGTATTGCAAAAATTCCTGGGTGTATAAGTTAGTGGATGCATTAGAGGTCAAATAACAATATTGTTGTCCTATCTGGCTAACATATAAATGTAGAGCTTACTTTAACTTCCAGAAATCCACTTGTCTGTCACTTTCTAGCAGTGGTTTTACAGATTTAAGTTAGTGGATGCATTAGAGGTCAAATAACAATATTGTTGTCCTATCTGGCTAACATATAAATGTAGAGCCTACTTTAACTTCCAGAAATCCACCTGTCTGCCACTTTCTAGCAGTGGTTTTACAGATTTCATCTTTATCCTATTGCTCAACATCAGAAAATGGCAATGAATCCCTGGGGACTGAAGTTGCTTGCCGCTATTAGTGGCCTCCATGTAGGTCCTAGGACCAAACCCCAGTCTTCTGCAGAAACCAAAAGAGGTATCTCTCAGATCCCTGTTACTAGTGCTTAGGAAACCAGGTCTTCCGTCTTGCAAGGAAATTCCTTACCAAAGGACTATCTTTTTAAACCACATTAAGAATCAAATATTTATTTTTAAAATATTGAAATATTTCAAAAACAACTTGCACCTTTTTGGTCCCAAAATGTATTAGTGTCATATTTACTCTTTAGTTCAAAATCTACTTTTTGGCCTAACATGTTTAAAATTGTAGGCTCCCCCTTAAAAAACTCAAGATGCATAATCTTTTCCCATCAAGAAACAAGTATAGTTTATGCTGGTTATGGTCATACTGGAATTCATAATGTATATCCACCCGTCTGTGCATTCCAAGTGCTTTGATTGGAGGCATGCAAGATCATGCCCAGCTAAATTGACTAAATGGAGAGATTGTCCAGTGGGCTGAGAGATCCTGCTATGATTTTGCAGAGGACCCAAGTTCAGTTCTTAAAAGCCACATGGGAACTTATTACTGTCTACATATCAAGATCCAGAGAATTTTGCTGCCTTCTTAGCCTCTAGATTCCTGAAAACACATAACGTTTATTTCACTAGATAACTAAATTTAAGACTCACTTAACAGACAGTCATGCCTGGTACTAAAACCTGGCCCAGAACCCTATAGCAGAGGAAAATATAGGTACTATGAGGGAAGCTACAACTCTTGTCAAATTGACACAGTATCAAACTGCTCTCTAAATACTTAACCTTATACCCATAGAACAGTTCATTTCTTATCTCTTATCAGAGAAGCTTCTTTATACAGTATTTGGTAGTTAATAGACTTGTAATTGGTCAAAGTACTGAAAATAAACTACAGTGGAATGCTCAGTCCTAAGTTTTATCATACACCTTCCATCTCAAAAGGGGTAGAAAGATTAGGGCCTCAGAGTACTTCTTGGAAATAGTGTCTTCTGTAAAAGGCAGGAATTTTATAGCAAATATATTTGAATGCCTGCACAAGATTTAATCAGTCAACATTCCAACATGGATGGTATAGATTTGAAGAACCCGTACTTTCCTTACACACAACTGGCAATTAAAAACTAGTGGAAGTAAGGATGTCAGTTTACTTCGGTGATGTAACTTCTAGCCCAAACCTCAGTAAGTAGCAGTATATTAACACAGTAAGTTACTTAAATTTATTTAAAAATGAGAACAGGAAATTAAAAGGAGAACCTGATAGGAGGCTCAAGATAGGTTAAACTGGAAGAGTTGTGACTGGATAAGATTTAAATACACTGCACACATCTATGAAGATAGCAAAGAATGCTAGACATAGTGTCACATGCCTTTAATCACATCACTTGGGAGGCAGAGAGAAGAGGTCTATGGGTTTGAGGACAATCTGGTCTACATAAAAATGTCCTGATCAGTCACAGCAACATAGTGAGAACTTGTCTTAAAAAATAAATAAATTATGAAAGAATAAATAAATGAAGAGGTTACTCAGCAGTTAAGAACAGTGGCTGCTCTTCCAGAGGACCCAGCTCCAATTTCCAGCACCTACATGGCAGCTCACAAACATCTCTGACTCCATTTCTGATGCTCTCTTCTGTCCACACTTGGCACATAGACATGCATGCATGCAAAACACCACAAACATAAAATAAACTTTTAAAATAAAGAGATGAAACAGCATGTGTGATGGCCCGCATTTTTAACCCCAGTACTCTGGAAGCAGAGTCAGGCAGTTTTGTTAGTTCCACCCAACCCTGTTCTACAAAATGAGTTCTAGCCAGCCAAGCGTGTGTAGTGAGATCCCGTCTGAATAAATAAATGAAACCTGAAAAATAACTCTATCATCACAGTATATGCCTATAGTTTCACCATTCAGCTCAAAAAGGCAGGTAGAGATAGAGTTCGAGGCTTTCTTGACCAGAGTGAATCCAGAGTTTGCAACCTCAAAAAACGCAAAAAGGGCAGATGGAGTATATGAAGAACCATGCTAAATATAAATAATATAATTATGTGAAATTGTTCAAATAAACTAGTTTGGGGCATAGAGTTTCCTTAGCAGTTAAGAATACTAGCTCATCCTCCAGAGGACCTAAGTTTAACCAATGTGATATCTCACAGCTGTCTCCAACTCCAGTTTCTAGAACATCTGATGCCCTCTCCTTGACTCTGTATACACACGCTGCACAGATATGCAAAAAAATCATACATGTAATATTTTATATTTAGAAAAAATAGAGCCCGGTGGTGGTGGCGGCACACACTTTTAATCCCAGTACTCGGGTGGCAAAGGTAGGTGTGTTTGTGGCCTGGTTGACAGAGTGACTAGGGCTACAACACAGAAAAACCCTGTCTCAGAAAACAAACAAAAATATATTGGCCTAAAAGAAATAAAATTATCTGCCAAACGAATCAAAGCACATTATAGTAGTTTTTTTTAAAGACTGCAAAAGTAAATCTGTATCAAAAAACATTATGGATAATATTTTTACCACATTATGTGCTGATTCAAAAGCAATTACACTGAGAAAATGCCAAAGTGAAAAAATAGTTAAAGTTATCATTGTAAAATATACTCTTGAGAATTTTATGTCTACTAATTAATAATTAAAATAAACACCTCAGTATATTCATAACCAGCTCACTGTTTCACTAAGGCAATAAAAGCTAATATAACATTTTGTTAAATATTAACAGAGAAAATTATCTCACAAGACAGTATTATGACATTCACTAATAAATTAAATGAAATAGGTTTCCTTTTTTGGTTTTGAGAAAGGGTTTTCTGTGTAGCTTTGTAGGCCAGGCCGGCCTTGAACTCACAGAGATCCGTCTGCCTCAACCTCCCAAGTGCTGGGATAAGACGTGCACCACTATCACCTGTCTTGAAGGATGATTCTTATATTGTTTAAGATTAATGAAAAAAATTAAAATTTCCTTAATACATTCAAAGTATTATATGAAAACATGATACTTATAAAGGTAGGTATATTAAAATCATAATTATTCTGATATGTTATTCGCTATGTTCATTGTACAAAATGTGTATACTGCTATTATATAAAGTTTTCAAGAAAACTCTAGATACCCTATTGGTTTTTTTTTCATTTCTGCCAGTTTTGGAATTAACTCTAACCTGTTTTCCTTGATTTCCACCTCCTTGATGTTTCAACACGGCTTTAACCACCTCTTGGTGTCTCAGCTAAAAATGCCTGTCTCAGTTCTGCCTGGAAATCCACCACAGGAACTTGCTGCTGCTGCTGCTGAGAACGTCGCTGGTACAGGTGGCACCTATAGCAAGTACACAATATCTTTAATCACAGAAATACATTTATCGATACAGATAACAATCAGAATGAAAGTAGATACTTTTACTATGAAGAACCTACTTAAAAAAAAAGGTCACCACAAAGGGGCATTTTTAAAGATCAACATTTAGGTACTGAGCACAATGTTATACAATGAGTTAGGCAGTGTAAGTACCAAAAGGGGATTTCTGCCCACAAGAATCAATCATCACCACTAGATATGTATTCAGTATATGAATGTATCCTAGAGTACTCATATAAACTATCAATACAATATTCACTCATTTTCCAATTATATTATGTGGAAGCAATACTTGTAATGAGGTAAGGGATTTATCCTCCCAAGAAGATACTACCTAATACACTTATCGAGGCAAATGGGAAAATTATTCCACTGTCCCAACACACTTTTCTTTCCCTATATGTCATAGAGTACTTACACATAATATAGAGATTTGAGAAAAAAATTTCTTCTTCAGAGTCATCAGAATGCCAAGTTTGGTCACACATGTCTATAATGCCAGAACAGAGGAAGTGTACTGGGAATGGCTCAGTAATTTTCTTATTATATAGTCATTTACAAATGAGCTGAAACCCTATTTCAATAAATAAATGGCCTGTCAGTTATTGCACTACCTAGAATGTACAAATAGAATCAGCTTGTGCCATGGTAAGAACCTATTTCAAAGTGTGCATACACACATGGATTCTCTGTCTCTCTCTCACACATACAAATACTCACAAATACAAACATAAACACACAGACACACACACAAACACACATTAAAATTAAAAATGAGGGCTTGTAGAGATGGTTCAATAGTTAAGTACAACTGTTTCTAGTACCACTGCTAAGTTCCCATCATCCACATGGTGGCTCAAAACCTTCTGTTAACCCCAGTCCCATAGAAGTGGATGCCCCCTTCTGGCCTTGGTGGGTACCAGGTATACACATATGTGCAGGCAAAATACCCATACATACAAGATGAAAACAAATCTTTATAAAATGTACACTCATATATTTGACATCTGAAAAAAGTTAAGTTCATTTCAATAAATGAAGATGAGATTTTTGTTGAGTTATATATGTTAGTGATATAAAAAGTAAAATCTTAGCAAAACACCACAGTCATTGAGGTACCACTGTGTCTCGTGCCTATAACACAAGTACTGAGTAGGCAGAGACAAGATTATCGCCACTAGTTTACAAAGTGAATTGTAAGCCATCCAGGGCTACTTGGTGAATCAGACTCCAAGAAACAAAATCAGAGAGGAAAATAAACAAATACCAGGTGTGTGCATGGGGGGGGTTGTTGGGTGTGTGCGAGGGGGGTTGTGTTGTGGTAGCACGAACCTATAATATTGAAGATGTTAAGGTAGGATTGTTGTGATTTTCAGCCTAAGACCCATCTTAGCTACATAGTGAATACCAGGCCAGTACCCTGTTCCTTAAAACAAAAGAATAAGATGGATCCGTTACCACAAATATGATTCTTCCCTTACAGAATCTTACCTAAGTATCACAAATCTGAAAATATCTCTGGAGTTATCTTTTTGAGATCTTTGGCTCTATGAAAGATTGAATTGAAGGAACCATACAATAAGACAGCAAAATATTTACAGAAATATAAAAATTAATGCTTATAGGCCAGGCGTTGGTGGCACATCCCTTTAATCCCAGCACTTGGGAGGCAGAGGCAGGCGGATATCTGTGAGTTCGAGGCCAGCCTGGTCTACAAGGGCTAGTTCCAGGACAGCCTCCAAAGCCACAGAGAAGCCCTGTCTCGAAAAACCAAAAAAAAATTGTTTATAAAATATTCCTTCCAAAGCAATCTACAAAATAAAAATCTAATTTTAAATAATGGGAGGAATGATTTTTAAAAATTGGAGAAAATAACTGGGTGGTGGCAGTGCCCACCTGTAATCCCAGCACTGGGGAGGCAGAGAGACAGGTGGATCTCTGTGAGATGGAAGTCAGTCTGGTCTACAGTGCTAGTTCCAGGACAACTAAGGCTGTTACACAGAGAAACCCTGTCTGGAAAAAGCAAAACAAAACAAAACAAAAAAGGCAGAAGCAAGCACATTTCTGAGTTTGAGGTCAGACTGGTCTTCAGAGTAGGATCCAGTATAACCAAGCAGTGAAACCTGGCCTTGAGAAAACAAATAAAAGCAAAAAATTAAAAATTAAAAACATGCCTCCCACCAGTTGTTTAAAGTATGTAAACTTTCAACAACTACTTACATATACAAATAAAAATAAAACATAAAATATTACCATGTTGCCTACAATATCAAAAAAAAGTCCTGCCATATAAAGGGTATATATAAAAGGGGCATCAACATATCATCTGCAGCAACTGCCCACAATAGCAAACAAAACAAACAGGTGATGGCGGCATATGCCTTTAATTGCAGCACTCTGGAGGCCGATGGATCTCTGTGAGTATAATAAGGTGAGCCTGGTCTATAAAACAACTTCTAGGATAGTCAGAACTACACAGAGAAAACCTGCCACCCCCCAAAAAGCTGTTACTATATAGCACTTATACTCTGCATTCAATTGAGTAAAGTCAATTTTTAGATGACCAATATGAAAAGATAGCAAACATGTATGTTGAGAACCAAAAATCTCATCTCTCCTCTTACACCCACATAAGCACACATGTGACTGCCAAGAAGAAGCCCTAAAATGAGACCAGTTAGTGATTATCCCTATGGAAAACAGGAAACTGAACTTTTAATAACTTTGACACTCAAACTTTGAGTTTCCATATATATCAATATTTAGTGAATGTTAAATATGTTCATTTAGATAATCTAAAGGCTCAAATGTCAATATTTATAAACTGCATATCAAAAGATTCATCAATATATTTTTTAAAAATTAGCTAGCTAAGACCTTCTAGTCAAAGAACCTAAATGTAGCCATGCAGGGTATTGCACAAAAATAATACCAATGTATGGGATGTGGAGAAGGTTCAATAGTCAGGATTATTCTGTTTTATGATGAATTCAAGGGCAGCATAGACTATCCATGTCAAAACAGAAAATGTGCACATTCATGTCCCATAAATGCAGAAAAAGCATTTACAAGAATATAAAATGGAATAACATAAAAATCTTAGATAAGGGGCTAGAGAAATAAATAGTTCAGGGGCTAAGAGCACTGGTTGCTCTTCCAGAGGATCAGGGTTCAATTCCCAACTGTCTGTAACACCCTCACACAGACATGCATTGCTGGCAAAACACCTATAACATAAAATAAAAATTATTAGAATTATCCCTTTAAAAAATAAACAGTGGGTAATATAAAATTCTAAAGGTAAAAGTCCCTTCCACATGCAGAAATAAAAAAGAAAACACTTCCATAGACTATATGAAGTCCTAAATGTAATTCCTACAGCAAATAAATGAATAAACAAACAAATAATTGAAATGACAGGGGAAAAGTCACATTACAATAAATAAGAGTTAAGGAGTCATGCATAATAGTGCATGTTTTTAATTCCAGTGCTCCTGAGGTGGGAGCAGGTGTATCCCTGTCAGTTCAAGCCATCGGGGCTGCACAGTATAATTCTACACCAAAACTAGATAGATGGATGGATGTATGAGTGGATAGATAGATAGATAGATAGATAGATAGATAGATAGATAGATAGACAGACAGACAGACAGACAGACAGACAGACAGACAGACAGACAGACAAAAATGAAGTTGACTTAAGCTAGGACAATTAAGGATTTCATTATTGTTACATCTTCTATATTGGGCCGGGCGTTGGTGGCGCACGCCTTTAATCCCAGCACTCGGGAGGCAGAGGCAGGCGGATCTCTGTGAGTTCGAGACCAGCCTGGACTACCAAGCAAGTTCTAGGACAGCCTCCAAAGCCACAGAGAAACCCTGTCTCGAAAAACCAAAAAAAATCTTCTATATTGGGTGTTCAATTAACACTGTGATCTCTTCCTTGCATGGCAATTTTATGGGACTTAGTTCATAGCCCAAACTTCACATACTCTTGGTTGCTCAGCGAGGCAGTCCTTCGGCGTTTAACCTGGACTTCCACCTCTGGCACGTGCTGTTCGGTAGTTCTTCTCAGGTGTAAGCGATCCCTGAAACAGGAAAAGAAAGGAAAATGATTTAGTTAAGTGCATTCCGTTTCACGAAACAAAGTTTAAACGGATTCATTACGATTGGGACTGGTCCCAAGATCTCTTTCTTCGGAAGCAGGAGGAGCCCAGGGCTTCAGTCCCAGTGATGCGCAATCGGGGAGGGTGGCACATGCCTGGAATGTCAGCACCAAAATGGTAAAGACGGGGTTATCGTAAATTTGAAGTTCAAGGACATCCTCAGCTACTTAGAAACACTCGGATGAGTTCTTACATTGAAAAATAAAATAAAGAACTGATGATAAAATCGCTAGGTAGACAGAGATGATTGCCAGCTACCAGTACAAACCTGACAATCAGAGACTAAAATCCCTGGACCTTTGAAAACATGAATGGAGGGAATCTGCTCCATGAAATTATGCTGACTCCCACATATTCCGTAGCATGCTTGCTGCCCCGCCCTGTGAACTCAGACTAATAAAAAACGAAATTAAATATAAAATGTCTGAACGAAGTCTTCATTTAGAAACTTTATCTTTAGTATATGCTGAATATTAACACATATTCATAATCTAATCAAAGCAATTAAAATTATGGCAAGGTATACCTTTAATCTCAGTACTTGGGAGTCTAAGGCAGGAAGAACCCTCTAAATTTAAAACTAGTCTGTTCTACATATTGGATTCAGAACCAGCCAGAGCCCAACACATGAGGAGGCCATGTCTTAAACAATGCTGTGATCAATACAAGGGAAAATATTAGAATATTTTCTAATTAAAAATATTAGAATCTCTAATTTAAATATAGTCTAGTTATAGGAGGACATTGCATCAGAAAACCTGGATTTAAAGATCAAAAAGTGAATTAAAATATATTCATCTACCATTGTCTCAAACATATAGGCAGATATCACATGTACACACACCCAAAATATATGCAGACATATATACAAATACACGATTTCCCAAAATAGCAAAGCTGATTCCAAATATTTGGGATTATTTTTAGACCATGATTCTTTTGTATAGCAGATGTATGAAACATAAAAAATAAATTGTAAAATTATTAATTAAAAATTAACTATGTAAATTTAGTTGCCCTTGGGATTTACAAAGAAATAGTAAGGTAGCTTAAACAAAATGCTATCAACAACATAGGGGAAAAAAAACACTACCATATTAAGGTCTGAGAACATTTCACAAAATGGCCGCCTCGTCAAACTGAAAATTGACAGCCTCAGTGTGGCCATGTTAGGAACTGCCGCTGATATTAGAAATACAAAACCAGAAAAGACAAATGAAAAGGCTTTTGACAAGGCAAGAAAGACACTCAAAAGCAGAACCAAATGCCAATTTTCTGAATCTCACCTATTTTTAAAACTGCCTACATTTTTACTTTAAGGATATGACCAGTAATTAATAGCATGTTTTTTAGAAACCTTCAAGGAATCCAAAAATAAATAAATAAAATTTAAGAACATGTTAAGGTGTCCAACAGATAAAATGACAACTAGGTTATAAGCAACTTAACATAATGAATTTTAACCAAGATTGCACAGGATCACAGCATGCTCCTCTGATACCAGCACTAAGGCAGGCAAGCCACAGGTATTAAAGTAAGCTGGATTTTAGTGTGGGGAAATCCCAAATGGGAGAGAGCAAAGATTGGTAAATTATATAATTGACTGAAGTCAAATATTTACGGCAAAACGAAAACATAATCAGAAAAAAATTGGAGGTTTCAGAGATGATGGATAAGCATTTCACATGAAGATACCTAAAAGCAAATGTTTTACAGCTTTCATGCAAAACAGATAAAGTGCAAAACCTGATTCTAAAATGGGTAAGCAGCTTTCCTAACAACATATTTAAGTGGCCAATCAGCATATGAAAAATATTGTTAATCAGAGAAATGAGAATTTTAAAATACCTCGAGATTATCATTTGATAGTAACAGTGCACAGCCCAGAGGAAGGTAATGGAAATATGTAAAGATGTACTAAGCCTGGAGTAATTAATAACTGCCAAAGTGCTAAGATTTTAAATGTCTGCTAAGGACAAATAAACCCGATGTGACATATTATACACCAGAATACATTCGTTTACAGAAACGAAGCACTCTGCCAAGCTCAACAGTAGACTCACAAATGTGTTTGATAATTTAATATTCTGAGACAGGGTCTCTCACGTACCCTAAGATGGCTTCAAACTTACTCTGAAGCCAAGGATGGCATTGAAATGATTCTGCTATATAAATCTCTTTAATGGTAGGATTACAGTGCTGATTATTGCTAGGGTTATAAGTGAGTACCAGCAGACCCATTTTATAAAATTTGAATAATAGATAACCTACCAACATAATTCTAAGTCCAAATTCTGCAATTGCAAAGAATATTGTCAGAAAATCTGCTCGTCACTAGTTCCTGAACTGCTCAGTTTGAAAAAGGCAAAGTTAAATCATCAATACAAAATATAAAATGCCTTATTATTTCAATTTCTAAATCTAACTTTTATATACAGAATCATCTAAGAAGTTTATTTTGAAAATACTGGTGTAGTTCAATCCCAGGCATTCATGTAAAAACTGACACATTTATAAGATGCCTAATTGTTCAAACATGCAAATAAGGAAAAATTAAATGTTAAAGAAAACCTTAGTTCTGGGCATGGCATTAATTTTTTACAAATCACTGTCACCAGCAAATTCTATTTTGGAAATAAACTGCAAATCAGAAGCCTTTATTCCTATAAAATTTCCTAACAGAATACTTCAGTATCTTCTGTTTAAAAGTTAATGATAATCTCCGAGAAAATAAAGATCCTTTGATACCCTGCCAGTGTGTGCTCATCTGACATCAGAAAAAGTGTCAGCACCTCCAAACAAAATCTGAGGAAAATTAGTGGAAAGAAAATTCTGGGCCAGCTATCACAGAGAAATGTCAAGATTCCATGCTATACTTTATTGTATGCAATGAGTTTAGGAGGTTAACAGCATCAATTAAATCTCCCTGGCTGCAACTCAGCCCCTCCCCACTCCACCTAAAAAAGGTAGGGACAGACAGCACCACAGGTATCCCCTAATCCATAAATGAAACATAAAAATACCTTATGATTTTTTTGGTTTAAGCACTTATAACTCTTTCAGCAAAAGCTCAACATAAAATCTGAAGGTCAAATCAAGAGCATCACTAACTTGTACTATACAATCAGCACAAGTTCATAATGGACTCCATAGACCTCTTAAGAAACCCCTAATTCCAGGCTTGGTAGCCCATGTCTGTGTATCTTAACATTTGGTAAGTTGAAACAGGAAGGCTCTAGACCAACCTGGGCTACACAGCTATATTATGAACATTTGGGGTCTGTCTTTCCATCAGTTTCTCTCCTCTGCCTGTCTTCTCCCTTCCCTTACTACATTCCTTTACAAATAATATTTCCACATTTTAAAAAATGCCTGAAGACCACAAGAAATCAAAATCATATAGCAATTTTCTTAGAATCAGATGAATAACGTAAGTATAGTAATAATTATATCAGATTAACCTTAAAGACTACATCTTAAATGTGAATTTTTAATGAAGATATGGTTAAGAAAAGATGGAGGAATAATAAAAATGTAAATAGGAGTATTTAGTAAAATGACAGTGACTAAATGAAAAAGCCAGCCATGTTAATACACAGTTAAGTTCTGTGAACAGACCAAATTGCACCTTTAATAACAGTAATGTTCCTTTGACTAAAATTTCATCTAAATCAAGGGAAAGAAAAATACCATTTTAAAACTGGTGTCTGGTTGAGTAATAATGACAACATTTATAAGCCTACTGAAAATTGGATGAAGCCAGCCTGAGCTACAGTTATAGCCTGCCTTAAAACAGTAAGATCAAAACCAGTCTCAGGACCAAATCACTTCTTAGGACAGATACATGGTAAGTTCAGAGGTTCTAAAAAAGGGGAAAGAATAATCAAAGGTATACGATTCAACATTTATAAAATGGTGGGCAATAATAAGCAAACTGTGAAGGGTCAGAAGATGAGCCAAAAGGTATTGCCTCCCACAGACTAATAATAAATAAATTATATATATATTTTTAAAATGTATGTTATTTTTTTTTCAAGCTACTGTAAGTCTGGTACCTGAAGAATGAAGACTGCAAGTTCAAGGTCAACCTGGGCTATAGAAGGAAACAGTTAATCTTCTTAAATTTACCTTTCTTAAAATTAAAACCAAAGCAAATATATATACATACATATGTATATGTATATATATATTATTTATTCATAAATGGGAAGGAAAAATCCTGGAGAAAAAAAAAGTGAATACTTAAATCCATGCATAAATCACTCACATCTGTGATTCAGACAGGAAGGGAGGGGCAGATCAGCAGCCCCAGAACAGCCTGGGATACATACCATGCCTGAAATTTAATATGGGTTATGTCAGAATCCTAAACATGGACAATAAAGAATATAAAAACTCAGTTATTTGGTTCATCATCCTTTCAAATTTTCAGAGTAGCTTCAATTTCAAAAAACATGAAAAATATCATTAACTTAATGTCAATAAAAATTATTCATGAGGATTAGTTCCAACACCGTGCACACCTCTAGTTATCTCATTATTTTCTTCTCTATAAGAAAATACAATTTCTAGTATTAGCTGCTACAGACTTGGGTAGGTGGGCCCACTGACGGTCACGTTCATCATCTTTGTTGACCCGCTGACTCAAACCCATCACTGTAAGACATAATGGATGACGTAATGCTAACATTGAGGCAAATGCTAATTATTAAATCTGTAAAATAGAAATAAAACAATTCACAGAGCCAAGAGCTGTTTAGTTATCTTACCTGCCTTAAAAAAAATTCTGACCACATACAGAACAGTAGCAAGGTATCAAAAATAATATATGCACATTAAACAAATATAAATTCCCTAGCCTTCAGGTAAGTCTATCTATCGCAAAGCATCTCCAGTCGGTCCTGAGCTGGTTGTACCTTTTT